AACTGGTCCGAAGGAATTTCGTCGTCTCTCTGACGTAAGTGGGCATAAACCAGTGGGCCCTGTTCTCCATATGACTCTCTAATTTCTGGGGCCCATGTAGACATCGAGATACGCGCTTACGTCCGAAGAGCGACGATTTAAGGCCGACGCCACGCCGAGAACGACCAAATAAACAGCCATTTATTTAATGGATACAGTTCATAGAATCCTAAGCTGTCCTGTGGGTTGATTATTGAAATCGATAGACAAAGTAGATGTGAAGAGAAAATGCGGAGCCATCCTATTAGTGGAGGCGGGTGGTTGCAATTAACAAAAGAGGCAAGTTATGGACTAACGAAAAGCAACCCACTGGAGATTCTTCAGTCCGTCGCTTGGTTGACGTAAGTGCGTATAAATACATTCAAAGATTAGACTGGGAAATTATTAATTTATATAGACGACAGGGTTCATCTGGTGACGATTCCAGCAAGTTGGCAACACTGTTAATACTCCATTTAAATCCATTGAATACATCGATTCTAGGTGTGGCAGCCTGTCTCGCCAAGAATCGATTGTTTTACATACATTTAAACGGAGGAAAAACTGTGTTGCTAACTTTCGAGAGTCGCCACTGGCGCAATGTACATATAGTTACGTTCTTATATCAGGAAGGTGACAAGTTAGTCAATAATTTTCTCTCTTAGCGTATATGAAAATCTTCCATTTTAACCAATAGGATAGCTCAATTTCCCTTTTGTCTCTTTTGTCCATCGTTTTGTCTATCAATTAATAATCAGCCAGCTGCGGAGATTCAGCACAGCATATTGGAGAAACCTCAGGATAACAGGCGCGTTACTCTGGGAGGAAAGGGGACGGGGGTTAAAACTCTTAAAAATTGAGTAACTTCAGGCTTGAGCGTTCCAAAACTAACGAAAGCTGATCAAAACATCAGAGATTTCCTGAGTGCGAGTCAACGATTTGGTTCGAGGTCGAAGATGCATTGAAGTTTTTTCTTCTCTCGGGCACCGGTCGGACGTTTTTGGTCACAGGGTCAGTGGCTGCTCCCGACCAGTAGCGAGGCGTGATAATAGACTATCGATATTATCCTATTTGAAGCTATGGTAAAGAATCGATTATCATGGTGTTCATAGGGAACGCCCTAATAATCGATATTTTTTCATAAGTTTGAATGGTATATCAATCGATACATCGCAAAGCACGCCCGACTCCGGACGTGGGCCTTGAGCCCTGGGTCGCCCGCGGTTGCAGGCAGTCCGATCCTGATTGATGGCGATCGGTTTTCTTTTTTCAGACGCGTCCTCAAACAACCTGTATCGGTTACTTAGACGTATTTAAATCAAAAGGAATTATATCCACCGCGACATGAGCCCTATCATCCGTGTATTCTTACGGATCTCTAGGCTCATGGCAGAATGGATTTAGTTCCTTTTGATTCAAATACGTCCACTCGATATGCATTTTGCCTCGCTGAGAAAGAACGCTACGCTACGTGAAAACGCTGCATAGACATTTCGAATGTTGCAAAATTTCTTCTTGGAAAATACTTATTTTGGAAGAAAGTTATGAATATTTTTCCTTGAAAATTTCAGAATTTTTAGATCGAATCACGAACGAAATCCTCTGAAAAATCGGAGGAGAAGTACTCAAAAATTTTCCTGAAAATTCGTGATTTGTCGAATGAAAGTTGGCGACGCCTGATGATACGGCGGTCTTACTTAGCAGGACGTTGTATGAACGTTTGCATGTTGCATGCCGATTTTTTGGACGAGACATTGATGTTAGTAAGGAGTCATGGATATTTTTGACAATTGACATTTTTTTTCGGATTCTTACAAACTCTGGATTGAAGCACAAATAAAATTTCTTTTTTTAAAGGATATTCCTCCCAAAATTTGTTTTATTAAATTCGGATAATTTTTGCAACATCCAAATTTCTACTAGTTGTTTCTCCTCAGAGTGGTAGCATGGCTAGAATGCAACAAATCTCATTTGACAGCGCACGCGGTAGCGTTACAGTTAAGAAAACTATTGAGAGATGGTAAATATACGGAAAGTAAAATATGCAGGCAAATTTGGTTTTGACTATTTTTGTGAGCATTTAACGACAGCTTTCAACGAGAGACTCCTAGAAAATTGATGTCATTGCCATCTCTCTCGAAATCAAATTTGATTTTTTTTAGGTATTTTTTGATAAATTCGAATGAATTTCAGAGAGTTTGTTAAGATAATTTGACGTTTGCTTATCCTATTCAAGCAAAAGCCTTATTTTAACAACTGTTGTCCTTTCCATTGAGTTGAACTTGAATAACATCCACTACCCTCTGAAAAAAACCAAAACCTCTTGAACTGTCATACCTTTTTTAAAACAAGACGATCTGATTTCCCAATTTTTTCATTGGCAACCAATATTGGGAAATTCAAAGCCTCAAGAAACCCTAAGTATTGCAAGAAACACAGGAAGAAACATTCTGAAAAGTCTCAAGACACGCAGTGTGATTTATCTCAGCCCTCAACAAGTTTATAATGGTGCAACACGAGCGAGAGACTGAGCGCTCCTTCATATCGGAGATTATGCAATCTGAGCTACCTTGAAGTTCGAATAGTTGTATCACCTTATTGAACCCTAGCAAAAAGATTAGGAGACAGAGGGGAAATGTTGAGGAGTTTAGAGACATACCTCTTTTATATTAAAGAAATCTTTTAAATATACCTAATGACAAGTGTTTCCTGCGATTAGCAATGCAATACGCGGCAGAAAAATCTTGTAACAACATTTCCTTGTACTTTTTCGTAGATAGAAGTGTCAACATCAACTGCATTGCTCTGTGCTCTAATTAGAGGTTTAATGTTTACGATCCCAAGTTACTGTGGGAGCATGTTGAGCTACTGTTGGTCTCTGAAGTGTAATGGTTGTAGCGCTGGTTCTTAGACTCGTAAGTCTCGAGTATTACGATATATTTGGTGAGGAAGTGTAAAGGACATTTATTATTTGTTTGGGACCGTTTGCGCCAAAAGGAGAAGTATAGATAGGGGCCGTTTTTGGGCCCACCATGTAGCCGGATTTCCTTAATTCCGAGATTTTTTGATCAATGGATGTCTGTATTTCAGGTAAAACATCATGCTTTGGTCATTTTAGGTCTCTATTTGGATCTATTACTGGACTAAGCCTGGACTAAGCTGGACTAAGTCTGAGGGTTGATTTATTTTGGCTAAAAATGCAAAACATTTGCCAAATCCAAAAATCTGCAATAGACGCATGTTTCGCCAAAATCGGTTTAATGACCCATGTTCAGGCCGGTATAAGACCCAATTTTAGACCTAAAATGATCAAATCATGATGTATCCCACGAGATATAGACCCTCACTGAGAAAAAAATCGTAGAGTTTAGGGAACTCAGTATGGCCCCAAAAATGGTCTTTCACCCCTCTGTCGCGTATTTCGCAACCTTCCCTCGAAATTCGCCCTGAGACAGTTTTTCGTCCATCCTTTTCTCTCTCCTTTCTTTTGTCTCTCTCTTAGTTTCTCATGACAAGCATTTTCAGGCCTTAAGCCAATGCTTATACAATCAGACACACCATCTTATTTCTTTAATATATATCCGTTTTATCGATGTAACGGTTGACTTATGCAATGCAGCCTAAAAGTTGCTCTCTCTGGCCCTGCGTGCCTCAATAACTCGGCGATGTACTTTACTTCGCGTTTACCACCTCAGCTATGACTATGTGTCTACTCTTAAGCTCTCACAAGCCACTTTAACGTATTTTTACCAAGTGCAGATTTTCCATCTATTGTAATCCGGCGACGTAAATGAAGAGTTCATCTTATTTATCCGACGATCCAAGTGTTATTCCTCCAAAACCGTTTAATCGAAGATATAAACTTATCTTTTGCTCTCCCACGAACTTCACTATCTCTAGAGCGCGTTTGAGGATTTATTTAGATGTTTTCAGTCCGTCTAAAACTATCCGTAACGTAATATGGTACCAAAACCAGTGTTAGTGACGTGATAGATCCTTCAAACGTGACACCCTCCATTTAAAAAAATGACGATTTCCGTCAAGTCACCTAACTTGGAACAGACACCTAACTTGGAACAATTGGGGGAATTTTTCGTCTGCCGCTCGTGGCAGCACTGCTTCTCTCTGTTTGTTTACCTTTGTGTGCAGATCTCACCGGCTAGGTTTAGGCAGCGAATGAAGCAGCAGAATCCTCGTTCAATCCTGTTCCAAGTTAGGTGGGTTCCTCCAAAACTTGGGAGGCTCCGGTTCCGACAAGTGGCACTTTCGAGAAAAAACAACTTCATGGAATAAAAAGTCTTATTCTAACCCATATGCTAACGTGCCAGGGAAAAACGCCGTTTAAGCTTTCAAATGTTGCCAAATTTCCTCTCAGAAAATACGTATCATTGAGGAAAGATATGAATACTTTATCTTGAAATGTTTTGGTACTTAAGATCAAATTACGAACAAAATTTTCCGAAAAATCGGAGGGAAAGTATTCACAAATTTTCCCAAAAATTCGTGATTCGTCAAAGGAACTTTGGCAACGTCAGAAGGCTAATACAGCGTTCCTTTGTAGCACGGCCGTATAGACCATGCTTCTGAAGTTCCGTCACTATAATATATACCCTTTAAACCATACAGGGTGATCCAGAGTTAAACGGTCATACTGTAGGGGCGTGTTCTATGGGTCAAAATAAGAATTGTTTGTTGAATAAAGTTTTTTTTTCCTACAGTGTCCCCGGTTAGAGCTACGCCCCTCCCCCCCCCCTTACAAAAATCCGAAGATAAACCGTTTCTCCTGAATTTTTGCAACGGTTGTGAACCAAATCTCATGAAAATTTGTTCTCCTCTGTACTTCCAAGCCCTGAATTCATAAATTATCTGGAAAAAAATCGAAATCTCAATTCAAAGAGGGAGATTGGGGTTGTTCCGGCTCCTGCAGTCTAGCCGTTTAACCCTACATCACCCTGTAGAGTATGATAAGATAATGTGCTCACCCTCAGGAAGCGCTGATGTCGCTTCTTGGCCTCGAACCACTTGAAGAGGAGGAAGGCGGGGCTGAGGAGGAACATGACGGCGGCGATGACGATCATGATGATGCCGGCCGTCGCGCCCGTCGGCCGTATCCGGGTCGTCGTCGAGAACGGCACGCGCTCCGTCTGGACGAAACCGTCGCCGCCGGTCACCGTGCCCGGCACCGCCGGCGGAGGCCCCAGGGTGACCGACACGTTGGTCATGGCCGGCTTCTGGAGGTTCTGGATCCCGCGGTGGAGGAGTAGGGCGCTCACCGCGCACCACGCCATCAGCTGCACACTCACCACGATCCGCCCCGCCCATTGTTTCCCGCTTGTCCCGCTCATTCTTATTACCTCCACCGAACAACAATCCCGAAATCCACCCTTCACCGAAGGTGTGTGATGAGAGTCGTAAAAAAATTGGCAATATGAAATTAGGGTGGAATGATTGTTCCGGTCCGCTTTAAACTGCGCACTTATTTGCTTCTTCTGAGCACTTATACACTTCAGCTACGGACGTTATAACACTTTTTGGCTATAGGTTCATATACTTCATCTGTGCATTTAGACACCCTGGCTTCGCTTTTTATCCGTTTAAGCTCGTTTGATCAACTTGACAGTTTTTGAGCTGTCTGTAAGAGTCAAAGAGAGCGTGGATGTTGATGAAAGTGTGTGGATAAAATTGGCAAAATAGTACGAATTCGAAACGAGTATCCCAGTGCGCTTTCAACTGCGCACTTATTTGCTTCTTCTTAACACGTATACACTTCAGCGATGTACTTATAAGTTTTAACGCTCTTTGAAAAATACTTCAGCTGTACACTTTGACGCTTCAGCTTTGATTTTTGTCCGTTTGCTTGTTCGAGCCACTTGAAATTTTTTAAGCTAGAGCGTGGACGTTAATGAAAGTGTGGCAAAATAGAACGACTTTAAAACGAATATTCCAGTGCGCTGTATTCAGTTACCTTCGCCACTTATTTGCTTCTAAGGAACGCTTAGTATACGCTTAAGCTATGAACTTTCGCATTCCAGCTATGGAATATCACGCTTCAAGTAAAAATTCACGCACTAAAGTGTGTTTCCGCCACAAATGCATGCGCTTTAATGGTAGACTGATCTAATGAACTCGCGATGAATACACGCTTCACTTTCCACGAGGCTCTTCCTGCCTCCACAGTTAATTATGAAAGGTGGTCAAACCAAAGTCTAGACGTTCACGGTGACCGATCGCGAGTATCTTTTCGGACGGTGAAAGTCCGCCGCTGTCCGGTACGCACCAGAGAGTCTTTTTCGTGAACTCTAGAGGGTAAACGAGAACTTCGGCACTTCCGTTGTCGCAGACAAGCGAATCAAGATCAGGGCCAACTCGAATGGTTCAGTCTCTGACGAAAAGCTTCCACTAGACTGACGGAGTGCCTGAACACGGTGCAAAACAATCGGCCGTCGTAAACAAGCGCGAAACAGGTACAAGTGCCTTCTCGAACGGCCGATACACGCTTCCGTTTGCAACGCAACGGAAAGTTCTTTCGTCGACTGTGAATGACTGGCAGGCTGCAGTGAGATCGGCGGTCGTAAACAAGCGAGTAAATAAGCCTAAGTGTCTACTTTGGCGGGTGATAACGAGCTTGTGCTGACAGCCGGCAGGTGAGTCAAGTTCGTAGTTGACTTTGGGGGTAGAATCTTATCCAAGAACGCGTCAGTCGGGCGGAACTTCTTCATGCTGGCTCGCCGATGCAGGTTTTCTGGGGGCTAGACCATCCTTGGTACCAAGATGACGTAGACCGCCACTTGAAGGTGTTGGCTCTCGAGATGTAGCCGCAACTCGACGAGATACTTCAGTCTGTTTCGTAAGAGTTGAAGTTTTAGTGGAGCGATCTCCGGAGGATCGAAGCGAACTCGTTGGATTCACCGTTGGATTAGACACTGAGAAACGCAATGGGGACGAAAATGAGGATTTTCCCCGGGTAAATTATGCAGGTGAAAAAGTTGTGATGAGATTGAAAACCAAGAATGAGAGCGTATATTGATCAGTCGCAGAGCAGAATCGGGTTGATAAGAATATTTGCGCGCACTAGGAGTGAAAATTTAGCGGCGAAATTTGAAAACCAGGTTCTGTTGATTCTGTTGAGGTCACTGTGGAGCGTGGGAAAAATAAAAATTGACCGGAACTGACACTGATGGTGAAAAATTTGCGCTAAAAAACCGGAGCTTAAAAGTATAAAATCTATCTATCAGTCATCAAAAAGGGCGGGAATAATGAAAATTTACTCAAGTTTCAAATGATATCATACGAGTCACAGCGACGCTGATAACGTACAAGCGACCTACTGAATGACGTCACGACAAAAACGCATCAAAGGTCACAAAAAATCCGAAAATCCGGCGTGCGCGATGATCCAGGTTGGTGGGGTAGCGGAGGATGCTTGCGAAGACTCGGAGATGAGTTTCAAATAATGATATTATTCGAATCACAGCGACGCTGATAACGTACAAGCGACCTACTGAATGACGTCACGACAAAAATGTATCAAAGGTCACAAAAAATCCGAAAGTCCGGTGTGCGCGAGTCCCGGTTGGTGGGGTAGCGGAGGATGCTTGCGAAGACCGGGCACTGGATACATCGGAAACAACCGTCCTCGGTATCTGTTGACGGTAGGATGGTCTAGTCCGAGGAGGAGATCGCGGGTGGTTTGGATTTGAACTGCGCCTGCGCCGAGGCTGGAGAGTGAGCGAGGAACCGACGGAGACTGAATGGGTGAGCGAGCGAATGAGCAGTTGAGCACCGTCGCGGCGTCGTCGAAATCGCGGCGAAGGTGATACGTCGGGCTAGTACATCACGGTCCAAGTCGATGGTTTTTCATTTTATTATCCCACCTGAAGCACAAGGCGTCGCGGCGCGGCGCGGCGCACAGTGGATTGAGTCAATCAGAAAGGTCGGACATGAAATTTTTGACTAAAACTGCAAATTTTGGTGTTTAATTCGTCACATAGTTAATTTCAAGGGGTGCTTCTAGAAGAAAATTTCACGAGGAAACCAAAGAAACCACTTTTAAAACCTCAAAGTTTTGTATGCACGGAGTTACTAGCGTTCTAAGTTTCCAAATTTTGTCCGGCCTCTCCGATTGACTCGATCCACTGTGCGGCGCTGCGGATCTCGAGTACCTACCTGTCAACTCTACTCCCACCGCCAGGTACCTCCGCCGCGCACAATAAATTTCTGAAATTTCATCGGAGGCCCCGGTGAAAAGATTCTGGGAGTCGATTTTCCAGGCTTAAGTAAGATTTTTCAAAGGTTGAACTATTTTCGTCAAAGCTATTTCCACTGAGAGAAACTTCTGGATTCCCAAAAAACCAGAGTGTTGAAACATGCTTGGCTAAACAGCGTTATACAGGGTGTCAAGATGTCAACGTATTTAAGTTTCAGGATCGATTTTAAGGCTCAATATATGACTATTTTAACCTTCCACACATATGCCCGAAAACGCTTCATTAGTGAGCAATGCGCTTCCAGAGTTGCCATGTATTTCTTTCAAATTGATTTGCTTCCTCGTTATTTTGTTGTAAGTAGCTGAAAGTTTGTGTAAGGGAGCATTTTTTAGCGCACCGTTCATTTTTCGTGTTTTCAAGGACACACGTCTTCGGGGAATGAAGTTACGAGCGTTCCCGAATTTCAAAACTACAATAACTTTTTTGGTAGATGATATTTGGAAAAATGGATTACGGTAAGTGGAAGAGCGCGAAAAATCAATTGCACCAAGTATTGCACACAATTTTCCAGAAACGCGCGTCATTTCGACGCAAGAGCTTTGAGACAGTTTCAGAATTTCGAAGCTCCTTGCTGGGTAGGCCATTTTTACTGCAGGGACTGTAAGAAAAATTGCCCACGTAGCAAGGGGCCTCGAATATCCGGAGAGCCGTCGCAATAGCTTCGGTGATAGCTTGTTATAGTTGCCCTTTGCGAAACGTCTTTCAAATTAAAATGCGCCATCGACGTGAATTGGCGAATTTAGATACCTGCTGATAACTCGCGAAAAAGTAAACAGCAATTAATTCCGGGACACTCATCTTAANGGGGGGGGGGGGGTTACTTAATAATCTTCAAGTGCCATCGAACTGCATGTTGTATAAACTCATTTAATCGTGACGTCTTGAGAGCATTGCTTCCTACAACCAATTCTTTTTTCACAAAATCCTTTTCTCAGCTCCAATTCTGTTTTGGTTCCAAGCAATTGTGGCCTATCTCTGTCGCTCATTTTTCACCCCTATAGATTTTTATACTATATTCTAAGGCGTCCGTCATACACACATAGGGTCTTCAAAGAGACCCGTCGATGGAATTATCGACCGTGTCAAAGATCTTTCGAAGATCTTTGGAGGTGACCGATGCGTTTATGGGACACGCCATAGATCAGATCTTGAGATTGTGGCACGGATCTTTAATTATAAAAGTTGTGAAATAAACGTTTTTTCAAAAAAAAGTTTTTTGAGTATTAAATTTTAGCACAGTTTTACGTACGTGCCTTGAAAATATCCATCATTAAAATACATCTTGATGCCTATTTGGATTTTGGAAAGAGAAAGATATAACACAAATGTGTCCAAAGATAGCAAGTGACATGGTTAACCGTCAAAGGGAACCAAACATATTATCGCTCTTGCGGCCCTCGATTAACCATTAATGGAATAAATGTCAGCAGCATCCGTTGAGTTACTTGCACATGACGGTGACTAAACGAGTCTATAACCAATTTGGAATGTCTTTTTCATTTTATGAAACCATCATGAGATTGTTTCGTTTTCTTTGACGAGCTAGATGAGTATATTAAGAAAATTTGTTCTCATTCAAGAGTTGGAAGTTTTTCCTTACAGTACCCTTAAGTAAAATTTCACGGGGAACACAATGTCATTAGCTCAGCTTAAAGTCAATTTCCAATCTTAAAAAAAAGCGTTTAAAGTCGAGGTCTCAACAAAGGAACATCATGTCAACTTAAAAGAATCTAGGAAAGTGCACTTCCCCATTCATCGACAAGCAAACTGTCTGGGCAGATGGGGGAGGGGGGTCTAAAGCAGGATTGCCTTGACTATTAGATAAAAAACTACTTCATTGATACTGGAAGTTCTGATACGCAGTCGCAACCCCGCTAATGTTTTCAGCTCTATTCATGCAAGAAAAGTTCGAATTGAATACGAAGGTAGATTCGCATTTATATTGGCGCGGTGGTTCTTCACCACCTTCGAGAGGTTTTTAATGTGCTCGGAACTCGGTTTTTAAAAAAGGAAAGAAAAGGTAAGGAAAGGAAAGGAAAGGAAAGGAAAGGAAAGGAAAGGAAAGGAAAGGAAAGGAAAGGAAAGGAAAGGAAAGGAAAGGAAAGGAAAGGAAAGGAGGAATGCAATTGCAGTAGTAGTAATACTATTTTATTATAAGGTGGTGCCTCAGCAAATATGGTCATTAAGACCTCTGCAGTGGAGGGTCTTATTTTTACAAGGGAAAGTAAAAAAATAGGGGGAAAAAGAACAAAATAAAGAGAAACTGAAAAGAATAAACAAATAGTACTGGTTGAATGAGCTTTTATTTTACGAAATGCCTTAACGTCGGAGGCATATTACACTTCTGGAAAATTTAACATGAAAATGTAAAAAAAAGGGGAGAAAGGAACAAAGTTGAGAGGTATAGCAGTAAAAAATAAGTACGTAGGAGGATTGGGGGTAAAATAGAGATAGGAGAATAATAATGGAGTAGAAAATAAAACAGAAAAACTGGGAAAAAGAGTGAAAATAAGGGAAATACGGAAATTTAAGAGAGAGAGGAAAAAGAAGGAAATGGGGATGATGTCGATAAAAAGAAGAAGTAGAAGAGGAGAAAAGAAATAAAAGAGGTAAATTAGAAAACAATAGTGAAATACACGAGCTTTTCGCGAAACTTCACTTCGAACAAATTAGCTAAATCGAGCACCTTCAACCCTTGCGGGTACAGCGTTGTGTGTAATTACACGTGGTTTGCCCACCTAAAGGTACGAGGCAAAGAGTAATTACAATTAACGAGCAGTAAAGAGTAAGTACGAGTAATCCGGTAGGCGTGGATCCATGCACAAGCATCGGGAGGTTCAGGTCAGCGTAACCGGAGTAACTCCATAGAGCAACTGGGTCGAGGTTACGTGGAAACTCGACGCAAAAACTCTATATTTCGAAACTAAGTTACCAGTCTCGATGATACTGTGAGTCAGAGAAGAGTGCATTACATTTTTAAGCCAATATGTGTGTGATCGTATGCCACACTGAAAAAAAAATCTCGGTGTATTTACTAAGAAAAGGGTAAAATTACCAAGAATTCAGGATTCTATTTGATCCCAGTTTTTTTTTGGTAAAATTACCATTTATGGAATTGGTAATTTTACTGAGAAATCTCGGTAAAATTATTGAACTTCCTCGGTAATTTTACCGGACCTTGGTAAAAACACCAATTTGTTTTATCGACTGTGATGGAATTACCGAGATAAAATGGCAAAGTTACCGGGAATTGATTACCATTAAAAGTGGTATTCTTACCTGAAAAAAAACCAGTAAAAATACCGGTTTTTAGGTAAGCTTACCAGTCAGTCGTGGTAAAATTACCAAAAAAAAGTGAGATGGTAAAGGTACCAACGGACCTTGGTAAAAACGCCGAGAATTTTTTTCAGTGCATGTGGGCGTAGCTAGGGAGCTGAAGGCTGTAACTAAAGGTTGGTGGGTCCCTTCCAGAAAATCTGTGATTCTGTGTAGACGCTCAATATCGGACGATCCCCGTGAAGGGTAATCGGAATCGGACCCTTACCTCTACCTACAAATCATTTCTAGCTATTCGGATTGGTGAAATGATAGTATCCTTTTTGATATAAAGAAAAGAAAAGAAGAAAAATAATAAAAATTACAAAAGCGTACGGGCTTCGTTGAGGACAAATATTATTTTAGTCAAGAGAAAAGAACGATTTCATTCCAAGTTGAGGAGGGTTAGGGGCATTAAGAGCTTCTTTCACTTGCCAGCTATATTTACTCTGATTCATTTCCATTGATTCAGACTATAAGAGCAAGACAGAAAAAAATAGACACCGGCACATATAGAATGTTTTAACTCATCTCGAGGACGAATAATTGTTTTACTAAACTGAGTTGTGCTGCTGGACATGCATTTTGCCAGTAAAATTGGGAAATCATATACGTTTAATTCAATTTGCGATGTCACAGATTTCCTATCGCATTTCAGTTTTTCGAGAGACAAATGGTCATAGTTTATGTTCAAAATTCCGAGAGATTGATTAGTTTGTTCTCTGAAAATTTTGCACTTAAACGTCAAAAGCATTCGTTTAAGAGGGTGGCAGATAACTTAACGAAGGATGACTTGTTAAAATAAAATAGGTTAACGGAAACTCTACAAATACCTCAGAAACCTATACATATTTTGTGATTTTGAGGACTGGTAACGTTCAATGTAATACTTCGAAACATTGAATGCATCTTACAGAAAATTGACATCGTTACGGTAATACAAATAAATATTGGTAATTGTTTACTCAGTCGGCACGAAAGACAACGCTGGAAGGTCTAAAGAATAAACAAGCAAAACTCCACTGTTAGTATCGCATGACGGCATGGAACGTACACTAAAAGAAAGAATCATTACACACAACGCTTGGATACAACTATTCGAGCTCTACGGATGTCCGTGTTGCATACACACTAAAGTGAAGGCGTTTTGACTTTTTAGGCACTCACCGCTTCACCCGAGCGTTAGCGCGCGCGGCAGGCTGTACTGCGACGATCCAAAATGACAGAGCGTCTTCAATTTTCCGTTTTTAATACAAAGACATCTCTTAAACACGAATAGTTGCTTTAAAAACCATGCTTTGCACATTGGAATATCAGATCTGAAGTAAAAAAGACACTCACATTCTGCGCCTGTCTGCCTTTCTCTCTTAGTCAGGAAATGTCATACATTGACTGCAACTGTACCAGCAATGTCTTTTCTGTCGCTCATATTTTTGACTTAAACAGTAGCGTGAAATTTCAGCTATAGTGGCGACAGGAGCGATTTTTCCATAAGTGAAGGACTAAAGAGACCAAACAGTCAAACTGCGGCGGACTGTGCTTCTACATTCGCCCGACAGATGGTGCTAGTTGTTTATGATCTGATCATTTTGAGGTTATGTCCTATGTCAATAAGTCAATGACAACTGATAACAACTATCTGTGTGAAAAGTTTGAAAAGTTTCTGTGTTTTCCTTGAATTTATTTTGTCCCGCTCTGATCGAAAACTCGCAAGAAATTTTATATCATTCTATTAGCTTGTAAAGTGTGCCTCCAATTCGTTCTCTTTTATCTCAATCTTAAATTGAATGTTACAGTGTTTCCTCCCAAACCAGCTATAAGTTCTGTCAGTTAAGCATCTAAACTTTTATTAGCTATCGTGCCTTATCTTATTTTTCTTACCGTCTACTGATTACTTTGGGGTCAAGTACCATATTCGAATGAGCAATCCAGCTGGACATCTGAAAAGTGTGCGCGTCTTGTACAAGACGATTCTAAGACTCCATCGTGGGCTTCCTGAAGAACTGCAAAGCCTCGGACATCAGTATGTCCGTGATGAATTTAAAAGGCATAAGACATGTAATCCTGCCGAAGCCGCTGTTTTCATGCAAGAGTGGAGGGTTTGTAATAGTTTCAATTACTTTACAAGTTATCACTGTTGATAAGCCACATTATGACCCCACTTATGACTAACAACTCATCTGGTATGGTCATGTCCAGAGAATGGCAGGAGACAGGTTGCCGAAGAAGGTCCTTGACTGGGTTCCTCCTGGGAGAAGACGCAGAGGGCGCCCAATGAAAGGTTGGAGGGAAGGGATTGAAGCAGAAATGTTAAGGTGCTCAATCCCCCAAGATTTGTGGTTTGAAAGAGAGCAGTGGAGATTAGGAGTCGTAGAGCGCGAGGGAGTGCTGTAAAGCGACTTGTATGTATGTATGACCCCACTTATCAGAGAACTGCAGTCTGATTTTTGAAATTTTGTGTTTGTCAGGTGGACATAGATGGCAAAGGTAAAGTGGCAGAACATGATTGGTCGGCTGTGTCTTATCGCTGCCTTGTATTGCCTTTGTCGGTTGGAATGGACTGCAAACTAAAGGCACCTCTTGAGTTTCCAACAGTATGTTGTCCATTCCACCCGACAAAGCAACAATAAGACATGGCTGAACAATCACGCTCCACCATTTAACCTACGTCATCCATGTCCACCCGACAAACACAAAATTTCAACAATCAGGCTGCTGAGGTCAGTATAATTTTGCATATAGTCACGATAAGTTGTCAGTTCAGTTGCCATTACAAACAGTATGATATAGGACTGATGTAGAATGAGATACATAGTGCGTTCATTGAGCTTAGGGGAAGAATCATCATGCAGAATTTTAGTCTAATTAGTGCTCATCATTCATTTATTACGTACAAAATTGATGCACAATAGACAAATTAAGAAAACATTAATACTTAGTTTACATAATATAAGGAATCTGTTTATGTGTCTTTACAAGTGAATTTTAAATGAGAGAATGATCCTGTTTTCACTTTCCATCTGTTTTTTTTCCCTCCTTGCTAATGCATCTGCGTTCTCATTTTCAGAACTATGCAGTCACTCTAGCAGAACAGCTTGGGGTCAGAGGCCCGAAGACAGCTTCTAAGTTTGGTCGAGATTTAGAGGAACAAGCATTGGACAAGTTTCGTGATGATCAGATCGCTCAGTTGTATGAATTAATGTTAGCAGCCAAAAATATAGAATCGGAGGAAGATAAGAAAAGTTGATGTAAGTAAATGGAAGTATTGAAGAAATTAAACCTCTCCATGCCTCAAAATTCAATTGCTCACTTTGCAATTCTGAACCTTTGAGCAAATTCAGGCCCTGTAATGTATTTCTTTGGTATAAATTTTTTTAAGTCGTGCGGGAAAGCTGTCAAGATGGATTCAGTCTTTGTGGCGAATGTGCTTCCAACTGGGCACGGCAGTTGACTGTATGGCTGCATCCCAGCCTTCTGTCAGTAGGTGTGCGCAATTAGTGAAAACATTTTTTTGTATGTTGCCTTTACTTTTGCCTAAAACTATTCAACCAAGAAATATTGATCTGCCAAACTAAATGTTAACTGTATTACAAATGTACGCACAGTACATCAGCTCTCCAATGAAATTATAAGGTGTAGCCATGAATTGAGGTGTGTCCTTAAGTTAGTCGGATATTTTTATGTCATTCATGCTTTCTCCAAGTTTAAAGTGAGCATTTTATGTCTTTCTTAAAAAATCTCAATTGCTTTTTAGTACCACTTAGAGTACATTTTTGTTAACATGCTATATATTTTAGAGTCAACAAAAAGCACACGTGCAAACTAGTAATGTGATAAGAATAGCAACCCTATTACAGCTGTTGGATCAAAATTTTTTGTATGTAAGCAAATATCCTGAGCCTACTTTGAATGTTGGAACAAATTATAATTTCCTTTTTCAGGAGTTTGAGTGAGAGTTATCCCTGCCTTTCAAAAAAAAAAGGAAAAAGGCAGGCACCTATACTTAATATTCTTATCGCAGTTTTCTATGTTTCAGGTACCTACACACCATGTCTTTAAATGGTTTTGACAGTTATGATGAATATTTTAGCGCTTGTTGCAAATTCCTAGGGGATAATGAGTGGATCTTTAACTATCCTGTGACGGAAATATTGGTTCAAGACATTCCGTCGCTCGTCCCGGATTCTTGGATTCATGCTCTGTCTAGTTTAAGTGAGGAGGAATTCAAAACTTTCCCAGTGTATCTAGTCAAGGTAAAGTATATTGATTGAAGACGTAAATTGGTTTTGCACCGAAACATGTTTTAATGTAAAATTTCGTCTTTTATTTTTTGAAATTATCCTCTCGTACACTGTAAAGTATTATCGATAGATAGAATATGCGCAAAAATCAGAAACTATCAACGCTTTCAGGAATATTTTGATTGCATACCATCAACAGGCTTATATGTAGTTTCATAATTATTGATATAGGAATGAAATTTTTCTCTATTTTTAGAAATTTATTAGTGGTCTCATCAATATTTCCTCACTCGATTCTATGCTGGTCTCTGCCTTTTAAGCAAGTAGCTTGGAGTAAACTTTGCCTCTTAAACCAGTAGAGATTTGTGCCTTTAAAAGAAGCTACACTAATCAAAATTTAAGGAAGTTCTCATTTATTCTGATGAATCCAAATGAACTGTTAGTGGTTCAGTTAGTTCTCAATGATATTCTCATATATTTACTTTCTATTTGATTTGTTTTATTTGTGAACAGGAAGATTGGCCAGCATCTCTGATTGCATTTTGTCAATGGAGCAAAAAGTTAAAACTGAAACCTGAAATTTTCAATCCATCAGAGAAATTAGAGCTACCTGAAATTATCAAAGCAGGTGTGACACCTAAAAAAACTCACGAAGTTGACAATTTAGTCCCTTTCATTCATTCTCTCTGCTCAGATCACAGTATTAATAGGATAGTCGACATAGGCTCTGGTTTGGTAAGTGAAAAAATATTACTTTTAAGTTTCCTTTTATTGTATCTATCATCAGGTACTGAAAAAACTCAACAACTCTGAAGTCTTGCTCTTAAACTCTTTGCCGTAAAAATATCAACCACCAGTGTATATTTTCTTTAAATCCAAAGAATGCTGAGTCAAAATTATAAGCGACAATTTGCCTCGTTAGTGATGTTAAAGCATTGACATAAATTTTCTCTGAAGGTAGCTTTGTCTCGTTGGAGTTTTGAGAGTAAATGCACTTTTGCAAGTACAAAGCCTAAAGGTTCCCTCAAAAATGTTTGGAAATTTTGACACTTTAAGATGCAAAAGGCTGTTTCATCTTTAAGTAAATCCCCTCATTGGCTAACTTTTCATAGATTCATGGAGTAGAATTTTAAAATATTGTTGAAAATTAAAAAGAAGTCTCTAAATTTCAGTTTTAAGCTATTATTGCATGAAAAGTAAAAATTTTCCACTATTAAGAATTCAAATTTTTATGGTATTGAAGCTTTAAAATGAAGATTTTAGTAGGTACTGGGATTTTTCAAGTAAGTAGGTACAAGACCAAAAATAGTTTTCCTGAAAATGACAATAAGTTGCAAAAATGGTGAGTGTTTTAATTTAAGAAGGGTCATAGTAGCGGTACCATGGGATTTTGCTCTAATGCTCCAGTGCCCCTCCAGCCCACTTGAGAATTTAAAACTATTGACAAGTGCCTGCTTTGTTACTGCCGCCTGATATCCTTGTCCTAATAAATGACATCTTTCAAATATTTTTTCCTTCTTGAAACTATAAAATGATTTTACTCTTGTTATATAATTCTTGACAGTGCTTTGACATCAAAAACTTGGAACCTCTGTTCAAATTTTCTCAGGTTTTTAGGTTTGTTTGTAGTTTTAGTGTATGTGAAGATTTTATTTGATTTTTGTTTTGTTTTCAGGGATACTTGGATTTATTTTTATACGTCAAATATGGCCACACAATTTTGGGAGTGGAATCAGGGAAAAAACTTGTAGAAACATCAACTTCCAGGTTTCAAAAAGTGAAAGCTGCTCTACCCCCAAACCATGTTGGTGAGATAAAGTACATAGAGAGCTTTGTTAATCCCGAGTCAATCAATTCCTTAAGCCACAAGATAACTACATTTTTCTCTGAAAGATCTGATGAAAATGATTTTATCAGCAAATCGAAGGAAAAATCCCAAATCAATTTTACGGATGTTGCTCTGGAAAAATCTATAGCAAGCATTTCAAATCAAAATTTTACTGAAAAACTTTCGTTGAGTGACTCTGTCAAGCACACTGGCAAAAAACAAGTAGAATATTCAGATTGTGCCAAAACAAATGGAGTCTGTCTAGTCGGACTACATACCTGCGGAGATTTATGCATTGATAGCCTTAATTTGTTCATGAGTACAGATTGCTGTAAACTTTGTGTCTTACTAGCCTGTTGCTATCACAAAATGACAGGGCAAACTCCAAATGGCACAAATAACATTGCCTCCAGTATACCTCCGTCAAACTCTTTCAGAAATTTTCCCTTATCATCCGCATTGAAGCAGTCAGCATCTAACTATCCATCTGCAAGTTCTTTTCTGCAAATCCCATTTTTACGTTTGGCGGCTAATGAGACTGCAGATCGGTGGTTCCATATGTCAGCAGAGAAACATGCTAGTCAGTTGTTTCACACCATGGCCAGGGCTGTGATCCAGTTATATCTCCATCAAAGTGAGTCTTTGGTCAGTGGCAAAATATATTTTTTGAAATGTCATTATTCATAAAGTGGTACTATCTCGTTTTGTAACTGAATTGAATTTAATGAAGTGTTTCCTAATCAAGCAAAATGACTGTCAGTATTAAAATTGCAAGAATGTCTGAGCCCCCAAAAAATGCATTTAAATAGAAGGCTCAGCAACAGAAGACTTTTGGGGCTTAATATGTACCTCTGCCACTATGGCTGGAGCCGGATATCCGGAATGCGGACGTATAATCGCTTGATACCCGGCCCAACTTTAGTAGTCAGTTTTCCAATAAAAACTAAAGTATGACAGAAGATCACAATGTCACAGATTGAAATATGGATTCACCCTTCAATGTTGAATGCAGTTTTTGTGAATTGAAGTACAGGAAACAGTATTCAACGGAGATTTCATATTCTCCTCCTCCTCTTGAAGGAAATCTGCATACTTCAAATGAACGTACTTATGCTAAAAGGAACTTGGTGCAAATTTATCAAATCAAAAAGTGCTATGCTCATACAATTTTCCTGCTTTGAAGTTCCTTTTAATTTAATTTCTTTTGTCCTTAGCTCGTTTTAATACAAATACTTCCACATTTTTATCCTAGAGATCCTTATAGGATAGGTCCCCAACTGTATCCTGTTCACTGTATTCCTGTTTGTATTTGTTTTAGATCACCTCTCCACAAAGAAAACCAAACGTCGATGTGTCACAAAAATCCCAACAAACGATTTCAAAGCATATGTTACAAGTTTTCTATCTCGCTACCATATTTTTACCGAATCTGGAGAAACCTTTCATCCAAACTCAACCATAATTGCAGCCATTTTGGACCTCTGGGAAAAATTCAAGCCAAAAAAGAAGGTTATCTCAATTTTGTTATGTCTTCAAGCAAATATTCAGTTTGTCGCCGAGAGCTTAATTGTTGCTGATAGGGTCAAATACTTACTAGAGCGGAATGCCAAAGAAGTCAGAGTAGTCAGGGTCATGGATGATTCAGTTTCCCCCAGAGCGCTAGCATTATGTGTTCATAAATAAAAAATAATTACCTTCATCAAAAGTTTGTAATTTTTTTTTTTTATTGGTTATTTTACACTTTTGAAGTCTTTAAAGCTGATGATTACTATGAAAAACAATCAGATGTCAACAATTAAATCTTTGAAATGAAACAATATTTTGAAAAGGGTTGGGTAGTTGATAATAATTGAATTGAATTTTTCCTGTCTTTAGATCGAGAACTATTCTAAGCACAGTTCTCTCTCCCTTTTCAGCGGCCATCTTCGCATTGGAAAACTCTCTTTAACTGATAAATCCACTGGCCCCCTCCCATACAAAATACATGTATTTTTCTTTCTGTTTACTGGATTTCACTCTCTACTAAATGAATTTTCTAGTCCTTTGATTGAAAGAGAGAGAGAGGGTATGCAGAGAGTGAGAGTAATGTATGTCTTTCAAAGCAAAGCTAGAAAAATCATTGCTTCTAACAAAGGGTGCAACAAATAATCGAAATTTTTCGCTACCATAATAGACAAGAGAAATTAAAATCTATACAGTAAGTAGGACTTTCACATTCAGTGCAAATCTTATTTACACACAGATTTGGAAATTTGAATCAAATTTTGGGTCTCATTATGAGGGAACTATGACTTCTTTAAATTCTGTACTTTTAGGGAATATTTTTAAGATCTTATATCTCCTTGCTACTCTAAAGATAACTCAAAGTTTCAATAAATAAAGAGTATTTTGTAGTCAAGTATCCAATAGTTTTTTGTGTTGTTTTTATGATCACAGGTACATATTAAAATATTATTTCTTTTTCAAATTAAAAGCCTATTTGAGGCAGGCAAAGTCAACAGAAAAAAGGTGAGAATTAAAATTTTTTACTGGGAATTTCTCATTTTGTATTCAAACAGATTGGTTTGTGTTTTCTTCATCATCGTTTTATATGGTATCAAATTTTTTTTGACATTGTTTAATTAGGATTATACCCATTAATACAAGGTGTGGGCTTCATTTGATAATATTGAAATTAAAAGACGAATTCAACTTTCCAAGAGATATGGAATGTAACAGTAATTTTTTTTTTATCGAATCGTCCCTCTTTCAATAGGCAGTGCAACTGTTCTTATTATATCATCGCTTCTCTGATGTAAGAGCATATTTCCACTTTTACTTAAGCACTGTAAAGCATGGAGAATGGATAATAAGGCTAATCTCCAAAAGCAGTTTTGCCCTAACACCAGAGGAGCGACGTTGTTATCTTTTCATTTCACATTAATAATAAGTTATTTCATTCCTTATTGCAGTTTTACTAAATCTTTTACTAATTTAAAATCAAGTTGAAAAATGCATAGAGCATTTATCATCATTTTAAATTCAAAGAATTAGGAGAAGAGAAACCTGGACCTTCTCTCAAAATGACCTTTTGAGACTTGGTCCAAATTTTTCGCACTATTTAAGGACTTAGAGATACAACCAAGTATCTAAACTCCAAAAATGTATTACATTTTACTGTTCGTCAAGATAAATTAATTACTTCACAATAAAACTATCAGTCTTTTCCAGCAGGCACTATGAAAGCACCCATCCTAATTTCACCTAAGGTGATACTTAAAATTTGTGGATTGATCCTTCTTGTTTGTTTTCCGTTGATAATTTTTCCTCTTCTTTCCTGTAAACAGAATAAATCAGCACACAGGTAAAAATTCAGTTCATAGTAATTCGTTCAAGAATATTGACTGCTGACTATTTGAGTAAATGAGAAACATGCTCAATTTTTTTTCATGACTGTTGTAAAATATGTTGAGAAGAGCTAACAAGTTGCCTATAAAATCAAATTAAATAAATTTAAGTTATGTATATTGGTTCTTTTCGATTTTTTTCCCCAATCTTGGAAGAAATTAATTTATTCGCAAGACCTTAATTAAGTTGACACCCATATGTTTCCCAAAGACTTTGTTTTTGTTTAAAAAAAAAATGGCTCACAATTAGATTTAAATTTTGATCTATTCTGGAAAAAAAAACTAAACCTCAATTACTGTACCCATGTAAGTTGTACTTTACGTAAATCAACAGAGAGAATGAAAAAATAATGGGATGAGAGTGGAGACAGCACCCTTTTGGTTCGCACGAAATAATTATTTTTCTTTTTTAAATATTTTTTAACACTTAAATTTATGCACTGCTGAAATAAAATTTAATCCTATCCAGAAGCAAAAAAATTAATTGAGCTACGAACAGTCTAAAAAATAATTCTGACTGAATTTTTGCAGTTATCAAAGAAAAATACTTGAACTTTTCTTATACTATTCGAGAAATGTCATCTAAATGTGTGGCATACTAATGAATGCTAAACGTTTAGTAGCCTTTATCTCTATTTGTAAAGTTGCAAACTCTCCATCTTTTCTTACTACATGGAGGGAAACCAATTATTTTTAGTTTCGAAAGTGTATAATAATATTTCCTTGCATCTCCAAAAAATTAAAATAATAGTTCTTTTTAAAAAAAATATCTTTCATACAGAAAATACATTACCAGAACACATTTTGGAAAACAGCAATGCAGGTATAATTTTTTTCTTCCATCAACATATTTGTTTTTTCAAAAAAGCATGTATTACAAGTATTTAATTTGAGGAAAATTGTCAAATGTTCTTACCTTTGTACATTTGATAAGAGCAAAGTGAAGAGTAGCCTGAATGGTCGCTCAACAAGCAGGTAAAGCACAAATCCGCACGATAAACTGAACACAACATCTGCTGTCGCTTCTGTAAGCTGTAACATCAAGCAATAATTCTTAGACACAAGTCCTTTAACTCAAGAGAGCATTTACTGTAGATATTTCTAGGAAAAATGATGATTGACCGTTTTGTTTCTCTGCAATTTTTTGCGCTATTTATTTTTAAATACCTACTTCGTGTGAGCAACAATTCTTCTCTAACTTGAATACTGGGGTATCAAGACATATAACGTCTTGCTACCAGCTTCTAAAAAGTAAAAAATCAGCTCTGGTGCGGTAGTGTGTAGAAGCATCACAGATCCCAGTTTATTCTTATTTATCTGCGAAACTCTAATGAAAGTATTCTCAATGAGACTCAAAGCAGTAAATGAAATGCATTAGTCGATAATTGTCCATCTATACCTAAATGTCTTCATTTTTGAAGCAAATCAATGAATTATTGTTTATTTTCATTCTTTCCTTTATATTCGTTAAAATCATGCACGACCATTCATTTGCCGAAATTATGAAGAGCATGAAAAATAATCCAAAACTCGAGAAAGCTCCCAAAACCGTCACGTCGTCGCAAAAAAATGCAACTATTGCTGCTCTATGTATATTGCTGTCACCACTGTCAATGTTGCTTGTGAGAGAAATGAAGGCGTCTTAGGTATTTTCAGCGCTCAGAACGGACTACATACTGCGCGCGGTGCCCTGAAGCGGTTGGATGGATCTTAGTAAGCATCATAAAATCGCGAAAAGAAGCAGATGAATGAAAATATGATTTTTTACAGAATGAAATAAACTTACGAAATTCATAACCGAAAAGTGGTCGCCAGCTCTGCGACTGGCAGTGGACGAAACTGGGAAGATGCAATTGACCAAGTATGCATTGAACGCCAATCCGGAGAGTAACGTAAATGGCTTCCAGGATAAAATCGAGTGAACAATCGCTGTAAAAAGGAAAAAATACTTTATTGCATGTACTAGTCCGAACTTTTAACAAATATATTTGAAATTAGCCTAAACCTAACAAACATTTTTTAAGAATATTTTGGCATCATTTCAAGCTCTTCTGCTCGAATGGTGTTAATGAAACTAACGGTCTGTTCGGTTATCATACTTAATCTTTTGGGTCATTTACTCTTCCTGGGGGTCGGACAGTTCACACCCGCGGTAAATTTTTGGTGGTCAATTCACACCCGCGGCCAGTTTGCGAGCAAAAGCCCGAGGATAATTTACACCCATTTTGAGATAAAGACAAATAAAATGGCAACTATGCATCCGAACTCGGCGCTGATCGCACTGTGTTTGGTGCAATGCGTGAACTATTTCACAGTCTCGTAGGCGCTAATATGCGCTCCGGCTCCACGCCGACCGCTGACCGCATTGTGTTTGACGCAATGCGTAACGTATTCATACGGTCTTGGAGGCGCTAATATGCGTTATGCCTACCGCCGCGCCGAGGGCTTCTCCTATTCATCTCAAGTCCTCATCATCATTGCTCATCATTGCACCGCGCCGCTCCAGGACAAATTGCGCGTTTGGTTTCCCTCTCAACTGGAATTAATAAAAGTGCTGTCTCCTGTATCATCGAAAGACAACAAAATTAGAAATTACAATATTTTTACTCTGAGGAAATGAGATACTTTTTCTCGTTTGTAATTTTTTTCCTGAGTCCGCTTTTTCTTTTCTTCTTCTTTTTTCCTTCCTTTTTTTTTGTAACCTATATTTGAAAAAATCGCCAAATTTGCCGCCATGGGCCGCGATCCATGTGGTTACCCCTTGGATCCGGCCCTGCCCCCATGATGAGTAAACACTAAGTGAAGAAGTGAAACTTAGAAATGTATGTAAACCTCTCCAGCCATTCCAATTTAAGTAGCCAGATCGTGGGGTTACTTACTGTGAGTGCCGACCACGAGGGAGTAAATGAGAATAGAGAGTCCGATGCCCCATATCGTCCTCACAGAGGAGCCGTAGAGTGCCGACTCAAGAACGCTATACTTGTACGTAGGATCGTAGTAAATAGCCCCTGTGAACCAGGCAACCATCATCACCACTCCACCGAACAACCCATGTAGCCAGGTTGATTTCTGAAAAAAAAAAAAAAAAACCACTCTTACATTACGAAATGAATTATATTTTTCGGACCGTAACCATTAGGCAGATCCGCGTGTTATGCTGCATATCATTCTACTTTTCATAAAAAAAAAAAAAAAAAAAAAAAAAAAAAACCCTTACTTGTACGCAACTACAAAACCATTCTCAATCATTTCAGACCAACGCTGTATAATTAGAAGCTGAAAAACTACATATTCGTGTATGAGACACAAATTACGCTTAAAATTCTAGGTTATGTCTAAGAGGTATCATTGAAGGAATCACATAAAAATATCAAGGAGAACCATGCGCGAGAGAGCGGCTGCCGAAATGAAAACTAGATAAATAAATAAAGAAAAAAGCACTTACTAGGGATAACTTTTTGGAGTCATGTTTGTACAGCACGTATCCAAGTAGCGCACCTACTATGTATGGTCCAGCGCGAGTATGAGATTTCGTGTAAAGGCTCTGGTAGTATTCGTCTTCAGCAGGATTGAGTGAGAACCTTCAAATTAAAAGTAGACAAAAATAGTACAACATGTTGAAATTAATGTACAAGTTTTAATCGCAAAATTAACCAGATAAAATGAAATTAGTTTGATCACCATTTTCAAAACACGCATGTGCTCGAGCGGCAAAAAACCACACAATTTAGAGGGAGTGAAGCCTCAGTATGCTATTTTTTTTTAAAAGGTGACCTTTTTTAACCCCCATACATCGAGGCAACATTTCACTAGTAACTCATATTGTGCATTGCGCCGTGATCTTCACGGCTAGCGCAAGAAAGCCAAAGTGCCTTCATTTTCTCATGTATGCAATATGGTCATCCATCAAGTTCGAATAGTTGCATTCAGGTGTTTTTTGCGCCCATCCGATGAGACCTTTCCGGATATTCCCTCTTCCTTTGTAGAAACAGTGTCAGGTGTCATTCATTATTTCTTATCCCCACCCCCCTCCCATCACTACTACTTTTCATGAATGCAAGGGAGATAATACGGTAATTTTGAAGACAACAGGTTTTTCAACCAGTGACTGTTTACAATGATTAACACCTGGAACCGGAAACTAATGGATTCGGTTGTTTCAGGGAACGAACAAAATTCATCCAACTTGGGAAATTCATCTATTCTATACCTTTATTGCTTACTCAAATAATACTAACTTGAAGTTGAACTGGAGGTTTGGCGGTTTATTGCCGATGTAGGTGATGCAGAAGGGAATGACGATGGAGGCGCAAAGGGCGATTAGAAGAAGGACGATGCCGCGTTTGGGCCGTCGCTTGAGCAGGAAGATCACCGGAATGATGGCCGTTGAGAAATGGAACTCGCACGGCATGAACCACGTGTGGAAACCGCACTGCACAGTCCAACACAGAAAAACCCATTCAGAAAAGTCACCAGTCGAGCACCACAAAATATTTGAATTACATTATACCCTAAAAAAAATCCATTGGACCAGGGTCCAGCCTCTTAAAACATTTACAAGGTTAAAATAATCTTGATTCGATCGGATTTTTACTTCAATCAAAAGGAAATCCGCTTAAATTAAGAGGCTTGGCTCTTGACGAAAGCAAAATTTCGATTGCATCAAGAGTATTTTTTCTTGTCAAATTTTTTAAAAGTCTTGACCCCAGATCCAAGAGACTTATTTTTCCACTGCACTTTAAGTAAAGTCGTACGGTGCAATGAAAATATTGAAATAATTTTGCAATTTAGTAGAAGAAGAGAGAACTTTTTTTTTAACCATGAAATTGCAATATTTTTACGTTACTTGGTCAATAAATGCAGATTCTCGGCGGTACCTAAGTGTGGTTAATAATTTTAGCTTCCGCCGCGCTGATCGCACTGTGTTTAGGCGCAATGCGTGAAGTATTCTCGCAGTCTCGTAGGCGCTAACATGCGCTCCACGCCGACCGCTGACCGCACTGTGTTTGACGCAATGCGTAAAGTATTCATACAGTCTTGTAGGCGCTAAAATGCGTTATAGTGCGGAGTGGGGAATATAGTGGGAGAAGAGAGAACTTTTTTTAACCGTCAAATTGCAATATTTTTACGTTACTTGGTCAATAAATGCCGATTCTAAGTGATCATCAATATGAGACAGAGATGTGCAAAAAAGGTTGGCAATTTGCAATTCAAAAAAAAAAATAAAAAAATAAAAAAAAAAAAATAAAAAAAATTGCAACGTATATCAATTTGATTCTATAAATTTCAATTAGATGAGCCCCTTCAATTCGTAAAGTCACAACACACACAGCACTCAGATTCCATGTGAATAATTTCACCATCTGTGCTACTCGACAGGCATCGCTAATTTTCGCTCAACCCAAAATGTGTATACTTGCATAGGAACACTAGTGAAACAAATGGACGATATCATGAAATAAGAAAGATGTTGTAGAGATGCCTAGTCTCGACTGTGTTTTGGAAATTGGCACGTAGGTTTCCATGGAAACTTGATGGAAGGTATGCGCGGTTTTCAAGTGGTTTCTTTCTTGTTATCACGCTACAGAAGATTTACGTTTTGCAATAAGCAGCCAAAAATTGGTTCCTGATGCCGGGCATCCGTGTGTCTACCAAAAAGTTTCTATACGGATCTTTCCGCCGTTTTTCAAAACACGGTCGCCTCGAGGTGGATAGACCTTTAACATCCCAACTGACTCTCGTTTCTTTATTTATAATACCATCCAAGTTCCGTTTCAAAATTCCTCGTATTAAAAACGTTTTTGTGATATTGGGAAGCTGACTTACGCTGTCGTTGGGATGGATGTAATTATTCAAGTAAAGGAGGTTGACCCACCAATGGGCCCGGCAGTTTGTTCGGTCGAGGCCCACCAGAGACTCCCACATGGGCCCGCTACCCAACTTGTACCACCAAGTTGCAGCGAAGAAGATCACAGCCGCGTAAACTGGAGTCAACCTGAAATAAAACAACACGCATATAAATTACGTATCATCTTAGTTTTCGTAAAATATTCTTCTAGTCTTGGTGCACGATTCTACAGACGTGGATTTTGAGATTTTTGACATTTTTTGTGGGAAGGGGAGGAGGAGGGAGATACTTTTGAATCGACAGAAGTATAAGCCGAATTGGAGCTGTATTAACCAGTGGTGCGGCGTGAATGATCAATAATTATCGATATTTTCTCATTTGAAGCTATGGTAAAGAGTCAATTATTAGGTGTCCGCTGCGAACACCCTGTTTATCGATCCTTTTCCATAAGTTTAAATGGCAGATCAATTGATATATCGCAAAGCACGCCACTCCCCTGGTGCCAACTAGCACGATACCAGACTTTAAAGTGCCATAAAAAATTTAAAACATGCGAAGATAGACTTAGAAATCAGCCGGTTTTATTAAATTTCAAATAGCCAGCAATACAACTCATTTCCGGTGTTGTTTTCACACATTCTCCTCTTCCACTTTATAATGATATTTTTCAGTTGAATATTCATAATCTGAGATAAAGAGATAAGTGAGGAGGAGGAGAAAAAAAGGACCAATGAGGATGTAAGTTGTAGTTTACTTTCCTTTCACATTTGCCTCCGCTTTTATTTTTAGTGCCTTTAAAATAGAGTCGTAAAAAGCACCAGGAGTCGTAAACTTCATCCAGGCGAAAACGGCGAAAATGAAAGTGCATAAATTAAAGAGGATGACTTTTGGTGGACACTTTTGCTATAATTTAGATCAGATTTTCGCGGCTGGATGTGGATTTCTCTAAACTCAATGTCTGATTTAATGAGGTTAATAGATGTTTGCAACCAGATCGGATTTTGGGCTAGCGACACGGTCAAGAAAAATTCTAATCACGAGTCCAACGTCCAAATTTTCCAGAGATAGGCTCCTGAGGTACATCCAAGCCAAGAGATTCTTGAAATTCGTGGACGGCAACCTTTTTTTTTTACAGTTTTGAGCGGTAATTTACCCATTCCATTCTATTTGAATGCCCTGCCCAGTGACGGTAAAGAGTGGAAATTTCATTACCTAATGTATCTGAAGAAAACGATCTTCCAGAAACTGATGCTCTGAGAACTCAGCCGATCCATAATGATGTAAACCATCAGAAGTCCGCTGACGGTGAAAAAAGTATCGACCAGCAAGTCTACGTGTGACGTAAAGATCGATATCAAATACTCATAGTACACCTGTGAAGTGAGAAAAAATGGATTATTGACTTAACTTCTACGTATTTTTAAGATAATATTTAAAAGAGAGTAAAAATGTATCTGCTCTGTAGCCAGGAGTAGTAACATCAGACGACACAACTTTACTTAGAGAGGGGGTGGGGGATCATTCGTCCACTTGGTGAGACGTTGGAGCCCCTAAAAAGGAGTTATTTACTCTACATTTTTCTCTTACTGAACAACGTTCAAACATTAATTGACAAAACATTTAATTTTACTTTCCTTTGGTCGCAAGATATTCGAAATCGGTGGCAATCTGCAAACGGCTCGCGTGCTTTCTCGGCAAAGCTCAACAGTCCGTTTCGGCACGATGAAGATCGCGCAGAGAGATAACTTTAAGAGCACGAGCTTGAGGCGCCTTCCTCTTTGCGCAATACTTCTCGCTTGATCTTACAGTTAGTTTAGTTGCCTATCCATCAGGAGTTAAGTTCACACTACTAAATGTGTTCATCGTGAGATTTGAGCCGTACCTACTCTGCAACTATTTCCGCTCAGCAAAAGCGTACGATAGACCTATTCTGCCGTGCTAAGGAAAAACGCCGTATGAACATCCGAGAGATGCTGAATTTCCTCAGCCAAATATTTATTCTTAAGGAAAATTGTGAATATTTCCTCTTGAAATGTTCAGTTGATTTAGATCTGGTGGGGAATAAAATTCTCCAAAAAAAATTTCAAGCAATGTTTACAGAATTCCCGAAAAATGCATATTTTATCGAAGGAAATTGGCAACGTCTAAACACTCATATGGCGTTCTTCCAGTATTTGAGGCTACTTCCAGTCCAACTGTACGGTTGTTAAACTGATCGTGAGTGAATAAGTTCCTGCGGGCTGATTGTTGAAATTGATGGACAAAGCGGTAGGCAAATAATGCAAAAAGGATATGGAGCGATCCTATCAGTCAATTTGGATGGTTCTTATAGACTAAGGGGGTAAATGATGGACTAACTAAAGGGTCTCTCGTGAGTTACCGTTATTTGGTTCTAACCTACCTCCTTTGTCTATTGCAACCACCCACTTCCACCAATAGGATCCCTCCATATCCTTTTAGTCTGCTTTGCCGGTAGCTTTATCTATAAATTTCAACAGTCAGACTGCTGGGTTGATTTTGATTTGCTGGGTTGGGTTGATCGGAAACGGACTTACGGATTCGTTCTCTTCGTAGTTCTGAAGCGGGCCCGGAAGACGGAAACTCCAGCGGTGGCCGATGATGATGAGAAGCATGGACATGGCTGTCATTCCGTTCAGTGGCGCGAAGTCCAGGCCCTTGATGACACTCCCTCGGGAAGTTAGACTTTGCAGCGCCCGTCGCATCGAGAAACACATTATGCAGTTCGTCAGACGGCTCTCTGTTAACAACAAATATCATTAAAAATACGGTACACGTGCGTAAAATTTCATGAAATGTAACGCATTTTGGCATTTGAAGCACTTCAGAACAGTGTTCTGCCTTCCCTGGGCGCCATGCGCCAAATGCATCTAAAAATTGGGCATTGGCGCCTAAAAATTGGGGGAGGGGGCTGGGCCATTGTGGCGCCTAAAAAAATTGACAGATTGAACTCGAAATCGGGAAGCAGCGGTAGCGATGAAGCGCTCTCTATACCAGTGGCGTGGCGTGCTTTGCGATATATCGATTGATCGGCCATTTGAACCTATGGAAAAGTATCGATAAAGAGGGTGTTCGCAGCGAACACCTTAAGAATCGATTATTTACCACAGCTTCAAAAGGGGAAAACTCGATGGATCGCAAAGCACGCCACGCCACTGCTCTATACGTACCGTTCGCATCGCAGCCCGAGAGCTTTTCATTCGCCATGGTCAGTATATACAAAAATATAATTTGACTCCTAAAAAATAGTAGATGGCTCCTAAAATATTAGGAGGAAGGCAGAACGCTGCTTCAGAGTGACAAATGAATCAAAATTTAATCAATTCTGACCAAAAAAGGGATTCAAAGTTGCCTCTGTTTTAGATTTAACATGAAAACAGACTGCTCTTATTATTTTCAACAGTACTTACTAATCCGAGACACTGAGTTAATATTTTCGATTTTGGTCCTCACGCCTTGCTTGTAACTTTTAAATTCAATAAAGCGTTGTTGACGTGAATTCTTTAAATGTAACTCAAGTAATTTTCAAAATAAAGCTTATAAGTTTGAGTGTTTTTTACTGAAATATTTCTAAGAGATATTAAAAAATTCTAAAAATGTCGACAGAACCAGCTGAAAAAAAAAAAAATTCAGAAAAATCGGACCGTTAACTTACCAGCCAACTAGGGAAAATTATATGTTGACAAAAAAGCATTACAGTGTGAATATTTTCTCCAGGTTGAGATAATAACAGTCCTCAACAGCGATAAAGTAAGAAAATATTCTCAGAGTCTGAAAATTTTTCTCGTTCAATTACGGTTAGCGGACTAGTAGATGGCACATTGACCCATGCATGAGTTTCAGACGTGTATTACCTCAATCTATTAACTAATATGAATAGATTGTCTGATGCAGTGCGTATGCATGTATGTGTGTAATTTATTAAAATCGAATTCCCGCGAGATGCGTCTGAGGGGGAATTGAGCGTAATTTGTGGTCGTCTGCAGAAAAGTTGCCAGAGGCAAATGTTTAGTAGTGTCAAGTCTGGTTAAAAATTCTGTATATTTGAATAATCGACGGATATTGCTAGCCTCTCAAGTTGGTAAGTTACGTGTACTTTTATTAATTTAGATTTCAGCACAAGACTAAAACATACAATCATGCAATGAAGTTAACATTTTGGGCACCGAGCATGACGGATTCAAAAATTTTTATGGCGTTTTTTGAACTTCAAAGCATAGTTGTAACTTTGGTTTAGTTCAAAATCTTTGGTAACTTATTCTGCCAATATCTTTGTAAGAAATTCTTTATGAGGAAATGCTATGAAGTCAATGTTCAGTTTTTCGGCTTGTATTCTGTGGATGTTCGGTCAGTGGTTGTTTTGCCATGTTTTGAGATAAACTCAGTGTAAATGAGGAGGAAGAGACGGGAATAAAGAGAATGAGAAGAGGAGAAATGCGATGGGAAAGGGCAAGTTTAGAGGGTAAGCTAGCAGAAAATCGGATTTCGACGTAGAGAAGAAAAAATTGTATGTAAAAATTATCTACAAAATAGAAATGACATTATGTAAAAGAAAAATCTAAGTGTGAATATCTCACCGATATTCCAATCCCAATTTTCAATATCCCTGAAGACAACGAAGTCTAATGCTGTTCCGACGATTGCCAAAATGACCAGAAACACTGCAAGTGACCTAGAAATAAAAAGTGAACAAAGCAAATTTGAATACAAACAAATATCTACATTATCACGGAAAGATGTAAAATTATGGCCTCCAGGCAGTTCATATTTGGTATTTCGAGGAAACCTACAAGTATACTGGTATTAGAAATTTTTAAAGGTGCTTTTGATCGCAAATGTCATGGGATTGTTAGAACAAAATGAGAAATTATAACTATCACGTCCAAGTCTAAAAGGGCCTCTCACAAATAACTATTTTATAAGTTGTGGCATAGGAAGTTGATATACATGAAAGCAACTCCTAAACATTTCAAAGCAATCTATAAATTATTTTGGATTGTTTATACTTCTGAATTATATGTATGTTTTCAAAAATTCATGAATAAACACGGAATTATTTAAATACCCTTCTTTTTCGAGAGCAACTTTTTCTCACGAAGGAAAAACTTCAGTTTTTATGCAAGACAAAAGTTCCTGTTCCAAAAATGTTGGGTCACAGGAACAAAACTGCGGTGCAGGGATCTAATCCTAGTTTTCGTGAGCTTCAGCAAGATTCATGCGAATATTTACTACCGAATCATTCGGATATAATAGCCGAAGTTTGGGTTCTATGACCAAAAACTTCGATTACCCACATCAAAAAGTTTGGTATTCCTTTTTCTTTGCGAATTCAAAGACCCCATAAGTTCAAGTTTCATCGGCAGGACGCTGGAGTGCATATATTTCCGTAGATTCTTGGATTTTCTTCTTGCGCTATTGACTGTTGCAGAGCAGTCCAGATGTTATTAATTTCAGTACGCCCCAGACACTGGAATGTATTTTCCATAAAGAATGTCTCTGACTGTAACTGGTTTTTGGAGAAAATTCACTGGAGAGCTGCTCTCATCGAAAGGAAAATTCGCGGAATGGAGTCTAAATTTCTTCGGAAAGTAAACAAAACTTTTCTCACCACGCAGAAATGCTGACTTTTTTAATTATAAACCAACGCTTTCTCGGTAAGCCTCTGTAACAAAGCCCGCTCTTATAGCATGGCGAGGCGTGAATGATCGATTATTGATATTTCCCCATTTGAAGCTGTGGTAAAGAATCGATCATTAAGGCATTCGATGCGAACACACTGTTTATCGATCCTTTCCCATAGGTTTAAATGGCAGATCAGTCGAGTTGTAATGGCATTTAACTCTGTTTCCGAAAATGTAAAGCGGAAAAGCAGAGAACAGTTCATCTAGGTTCCATCTGATCTCAAACGCGAAAAAAGACTGACCTTGGCATTGCTGTTAATTACCTCATCTGGAATAAAGCTGTTGGCACTGGTCGAATCCGTTTATCGCAGCAACAATTAGCAATGCTAGCCCCACCGAGTTTTAATTGTTCTCTTTCCGCTTTACCGCGCATCTGTCTTCTCTCGAAGATTCATAAACCAACAACATGCAATGCCACGTCTTAATCAATTACCTACTCTCCAATTTTCCCTCTTCTGACTCGAGTATTCTGGAATAGAATCCAGAACTCTTTCACCTGAAATCGGCGTCAGTGCGAATGAATTGCATATCCTACCCAGGGGCGTGGCGTGCTTTGAGATGTATCGATTGATCTGCCATTTAAACACATTGAAAAGGATCGATAAATATAGTATTCGCAACGAACACCTTATAATAATTGATCTTTGCTACGCAGCTTCAAATGGGGAAATATCGATAATCGATCATTCACACCTTGCTACTGATCCTACGTGATTGCGCGTCGATTACCTTCTTTGCGAGTGACGTTTAAGGTCGTATAAGCATTTGAATTTCGCCAAATTTCTCCCCAAATAGTATTGCTGTTTTATTTTACGTCAAATAGTACGATTTAGAAATCAGTTGAAGGAAGAGAGGAAGAGGAAGGAGGAGAGGTAGTAGAGGATACGATGAAGTGGAAGAGGTGGGAGGATGAAGATGAGGATGAAAATGAAGATGATGACGACGACGTAGACGAAAATGAAAATAAAGACGAAGAGGAAAATGAAGATGAAGACAGAGAAGTCGAAGACGAAAAGTAAGAGCTTACTACGAAAATGAAATCGAATAGGAAGAGGATGAGTGGAAGAGAGAAGAAAAGAATGAAAAGATGAGGAAGGAAATGAGTGAGAAGAAGAGAGAGGGGAAAGGAAGAAGGAGGGAAAGAGAGAGGAGTTTAAGGAAAATGCCTTTTTTCTGGTATTTTTGTTCCTCTTCTCATTTTTTCTCCTCTTGTTACTCTTCATCAGCGCCTTGTAATTCTTTTTCAGGACTCTCTCTCTCTTCATCCCCCTCACCTCCCTTTGATCCCCAACACGTCCATCTGGCATATGAAAGGAGTTCTAAGCTATCGCATGTATTTGTTTTTTTATAACTTCCCTTCCGAGGAGCTAAAACACCCCAGTCAGTCAGACTCATGTCAAAGCGTATTTCTGGTTTATTTGAGAAACATCGGAGACCCCATTAGTTCCCATGTGTAGATAGGTACTTTTATGGAGAAGTCAGAACTGGTATTGCACAGAGCCCCTTCATACTGAGAGTCAAGACAACCCCTCTCATGGAGTCACAAACGGGAATAAAAATTACACAAATTGGCAGTTTTTCGTAATCTTTGATCGGCTCATTCTCAAATTCCTTTCTCCGTTCCTTCTCTCATTCCGTGTGTTCCTTGTCAAACCCGTTATTCCCCGGTCGATTCTACATTATTATCTTTGCAATCGGTGAAAACGTAATCTTTATTCCCGTTTGTGACACTGTGGAGGCCTAAAATACGGGAACCAATCAAAGATGGATTCACATTGTCTGGACTCTCAGTACAAAGGGACTCAAGTATTGCAGAATTTGGCCTGATTTAATGGCACGTGCATGAGACGTCATTGGCAACTCTCGTCTGCGCAACTCCACACGAAGCTGCGGAACCCCTCGGCGGATATTGCGAATAATTGGCAGAGCAGTCAACAATGGAGGGAAGTAGCCGCGTTTTATTTACATCGAATTTACGAGCGCACGCATAGGCACACTGGAGCTTGAAGCGGCGGCGGCAGCGCTGAAGGTCAGCGGCATTCTGGCAAGCGTCTTCCGTTGGAGCCCCCGATGAAATTGCAGCGACGCACGCCTCCTGGCTCCGAGTCAATGCCCTTTGCAATTTGCACCTACCGCCTACCGATCGACCGTTTCAGCCGACCCGATGCAGGCCTTTGCGAGCACGACAAAGAGCCACTGGCGAGGCGTGAATCATCACCTACACGGAGAAAAAAACTTCGTGCGTGGGACCCGAAGTTTAGGTCATATGGACCTCTGAAGTTTCCGGATTGAGCGCAACTTAACACTTTAGGTCCAGCTGCTGAGGTTTGGATCACACATCTGAAACTTCAGTTCTAACATCTGAAGTACTTCGGTTTTCACATCGGAACAACTTCGGTTCTCACCGAAAAACTTCGGTTCTCACATCTGAAGCACTTCAGATGTAAGAACTGGAGTTTCAGATGTGTGATCCGAGCCTCGACAGCTAGACCTAAAGTGTTCAGATGCTCAATCCGAAAACGTCAGAGATCCATATGACCTAAACTTCGGGTCCCACACACGAGTTTTTTCTCCGTGTACACTGAAAAAAAAAAGTTACGGGCTATGAAGACATACCGTCCGTTCCGGGCTCAGAGGCCGAAACTTCCAGGTGCTAGGGGCGTAGCTTCGATTGCTCCGGGTGCTACGCCCGGAACGCGGATGGTTTGTCTATATAGCCCGTAAGTACGGCTTCCTTGGCCGGAGAGTATTTCCAGTGTATCGATAGCACCCCATTTAAACCTATTGTAAAGAATGGATTTTTAATTTATTCTCTGAAAATCGATCCTTTCCCATAGGTTTAAACGGCTGAACAATCGATTCTTCGCAGAGCACAGCTGCAAAGAGCCCCTCCTCTCTAGTAGATTATCTACTGCGTCTGAAGCGTATTTGTTGTTTACAAGGTTCTCCAAAGGTTTGTCAACGTTTGTACTAGGGGTACCCCATGGCTGCTATGCGGTCCAACCCTTAGAAGGGCGCTACGCGCTTTCCAAGGCCCTCATGAGGTAATCTAAATAGAGCGAGCTCATTTATAGGGACTGTCTTTTGTTCATACTCGCAAAAATCATGAAAATTGGCTTCATAAATCTTTAGAACGGAGTGTAACAGATAATGAGCATTTAAATTGTTTGAATGAGAGAATTCAAAAGTGTGTCGCATAAAATAAAAGAAGATAGGTCATATTAAAAAAATCTGAATAAAAGTGGATCAACTAGGGACTATCACCTGGCTACAGCCGAAATAATCATAGAAATCAGCTCTGCAGAACGTTATAACGAACTGTGCAGACAAATGAAAATTTGGGGGTCAGAGGGTTTATAGTAATGATGTGGCCAAATTCCTAGTCGCAAATTCTAGTTTTACAAGGAGAACACCGAGCGTTTCCCGAGAAAAAATGGGTATGACTGATTTAATCTTCTCTTAACATTTAAAAAACATGAATATTTTGGACAAGTCGGAGTGGAAGAGTTTCTTTCATGTCATGAAATAGTACAGGAAATGTACTCAAATTCTCTCCCATGAGAATGAACACAATATTTATGATCAACTTTTATAGCTGCTTTTTCTTTGTTTTTAGTTTTTTATTTTTAAAAAAATTACTTTTTAAATAAAAATCATAGCGTAAGTACGACGTAATGTAGTAAGGCGCAGGTTATTCAAAAGCCGCATTTGTGTGAAATAAAACTTTAAAACCTTTCAATAATCTGAGGAATTAAAAAATGTGCCACTATGTATAAATTCAAACTCTCGTCTGCTATCTTCATGCTTTGTTCATTTTTTAAAATTTTCCTCAAACATTTAATTGCCCACTGAGTAGCGTCTAAGCAAGCTTTGGTCACATTCCACGACGCTGAGATGATTTTTCCAGCCGACGAAGAATATGTACAAGGAAACGAGGAGAATAAAAAACACAAAATCCAGCAAAAAATATGCAAATGAACTGGCCAATTCAGTTTGATGGGCCCATAGTACTTTGATCGTTGAACTCAGTCAGAGTGTTTTAAGCGAAAGATTTTCAAATTCTTCAGAATGGCGAAGATGAGAGAACATCCCGTTAAAGATTTTATCGATGAGAAGTTTTTGCCTCATTATGTGCGTAAATGATTGATGTGATAATGGACGTAACACTGTATTTCATTCATATGTAGCGTCAATACGTCGCGTGAAATCACTGGTTTTAATTACAATTTTTGAATTACCATTTGTTTCCCAGATTTCAGCACCTTTTAATTCATTTTTCGTTACATTATTATACTCTTCGCCATTTGAATTACTGCGTATCATAATATCAATGATGCTTGCTGAAATCAGCCCCAGAGAGTCCTCAAAGCACGATACGCCGGTAGCCATGCCGTCAACTTACGGCCAAAATATCATAAGTGCCATGACGTTTAAAAATTTCTACCTCCATTTTATTTTTTTACAGAAAAATTGTTTGAAAATTTCAATGGATTTTATCGGCAGCACAAAGAAAATTCAGTGAAAGTTTTGGACAGCTTCGTTGACAAATTTTTCTGTTAAAAAATAAGATGGCGGCAAAATTTTTTCATCGTAACACGGCATTTGTGATACTTTGACCGGAAAGTGACGATGTTTTGACTCCTAACGGCAGAGCAATCGGCAGCTTCATTCTTTAAAATTCATAACCTGCTAACGGAATTTCCGCACTTTTTCGGTATACTTCCGGACCGCCCTTAAAAAATCAGTACTATTTCCGGACTCTCCAGAGATTCCGGACTTGTAGAAACCCTGGCCACACCACTGAAAAAAAAGTCCTGAAAAGTGGGGAGACTTACAGGAAGACGATATCCTCGACTTGGATTTTGTCGGCGGGTCGGTCGAGGGTGGTGCAGAGCCGGGGGCTGACCGAGACGGTGAGTTCGGTCCGGTTGTTGAGGCGCAAGAACTCGTTGAGGTGTTTGCTCACGTCGTCGGCGGAACAAGAGGCCGGCAAACACAGCGCCCACCGGATCTCGTTCAGCTTCTGCTTGATCGGAGCCCCGCCGTACTGAAATCAGAATGCAAAGTCAGCTGCTTCCTAATCCACGAAACGAATGCAAACACGGAAGTAAATGCGAGCACAAGGGACGATTAGCCACTGCAGAAGGTATAAAATCAAAGCCACACGTCATTGGTATCCTCCTTAAAAGAGTAGAAAGCGGTTTACGTCACAGGAAGTTTGGAGTTCAACCTCAAGATGTGTTTTAAGCACTGATCGAGTGGAACAAAAACTATAGGCAATCTTTGGTTCCTTGATTACTCTTGGAGACTTTAACGCAGAATAAGGAAAGTAAGAGATTTCGTGTTACCCAATAGTGAGTGCAGTGGTTCCGTTTAGTTTCAAATTTTGATTTCTATCAGCGGGTTGATCATTGAAATTGACCGACAAAGCTACAGGTAAAGAAGATAAGGAGGAAATTAAGGAATATCCTAATGGTGGACGGCGAGTCCCAAAAGTGCAAATGCAAAGAAATTGCGGCGCTAAAGCACTATAAAAAGACGTTTGCGCTCGTGCGTTTCTCTCATTTGCGCTTGTGAGACCCCAAAATTTTGCTTTTTCCCAAAATGTTTGCAACTTGTAGGCGTTTTATTCACTGAAAATAGTATGTTTAAAATGTGTGCGGTAACGCTCAACTCGTGATACATTACATCCTTGTGACGTAAAAGTAACAGCTTCAGCTTTCAAACAAACATTATTTTATGAGTTATCGCGCAGATTTTAACACTCCAAAAAGTTAGTGCAACCCACTTTCTTTCTTCGCTTGAGCAATTGTTTCCACTCTAGGAAAATAACATTTAATAACGCAGATCGACCTTAAATCTAGTGAAATACATGAAGAAATCATGGATCGCAACTTATTTTCATCCTTTCACGCGAGAAAAAACATGTATCAACATCTGGTACACTGCGTAAAATGTTTCCCACTGCTTAAATTCATGGCAACAACTGTATGAGCTCATTCTCTTTATGCACCTTTAGAATGAATAATATGTTTATACGCCGTATTTCATCAGTTTTGACAATTTTCCTCGTACATTGCAAGTAACAGAATAATAAGACGTCCTATTTATTTCCAACGCACGGCACGATTGATTTGTGATTCACTCTTCGTCAACACCGGTGGACATCGTATGAGGATAAATGGTCAGGGCTTTGAATTGAAACATGAAATCTACATTTGTATGTGAGTTTTCCTTGCTCAGTCTTGAATCTTTGTAAATCAGCATTTTGAATCAGTCTTAAAACGAAATTCGCTCATTTTTAATCTTGAGGTTGAGCTCAAGGAGGAGGAGGAGAGGTAGAATAATATATATATTAATCATTAGCAATAGAGAAGGAGAGGTAGAATAATATATATATTAATCATTAGCAATAGAGAAGGAGGAGTAGAATAATATATACATAAAGTAATATAGTTATTAATATTTAAGTGCTGACATAAAACAGCACTTAAATATACTAAATCATGTTCTCATTTTTAATATAATTTTCAATCTCCTTTTTAATCTTCCTCCTTGTGAACTTTTTTAATCCATTCACGCAATTGTGTTCAGGTGTGCATTCTTAATTATTATTCCATTGACAACAAAAGCCAGTTACGGGCTTCTATGGAGTATTCTCCTGAAAGAACTTTATCGAGAGATGAACAAAATAAAGTAGGTACAAATTCGATTGTTCTCATGTTGATGACATCGATATCCGGCAGGTGACTGGAGTTGGAATGGCAGTTGTGTATTGTCACGCAACTCCCTTGCTTAACAGAGACTATGCTAGATTGGGATGACGAAAGTTTACGGCAAACGAGGGAAATTCATCTCATTGTGATTATATCCGTGCAGGAGACTCAACTTGCGCTTGGCCAACTATGATTGGGTTGAAGCTTGGTTTATTTGCGTTCTTATTACCATCGGGTGAGAGGTAATTGCTTTCAATTAAATGACGCAACTGAGAAAATTAAAAATTTTCGTTCAAGATAGTTGAATCAGTAAAACGATGGTGGAATTTTTGTCGATTCAAAATCGTGGAGTTGCAAAATACTATATCTATGACTGCGCAACTGCGTGCACATTTCCAGCCGAGAGGAGGTTTTGAATTTTCGAAAATGAACGTGCTTTTAATCTTGTCAGTGTGATGTGAAGCTATGTTCAACTAAAATGATGATAAAAATAAGAATCATGGTACTATACATTTTATTAACTATAACTTTCATGGGAAATGAGTATAGCTGGAAACCTTTTCGGCTCGTCTTGGAGCCACCATTAAGTTTAATAAATGTATAGTACCATTATTCCTATTTTTATCATCATTTTAATATACGGCAATACTCAACCAAGCGTGTTTATGCTCAACTGGTAAACAAGCGTCTTCGTTTTTACATCTTAAACGGGAAAATAAATAGCCCCGCATAAAGGCCAGGATATTTTGGAGTGATTAAAAAAAAATCTGACTTTGTTTTATAGGTCTAAATCAGCGACATATGATTAATTTGTACACTGGTATTTACCCAAAAAAGCCTACTTTTTAACAATTTTCGAGCCTGGAAGTTATGAAAAATGACTTTAATTGTTGGGCTAAGACGATAGGGGGGGGGGGGGAGAGCTTGTCACATGTCCGTACTTGCTAATTTTGATAGCCCGGTTTTTGTATGCAGTGCCATTCAAGATCCTATGCCGTGCTAAGAAAGAACGCCGTATGAACATTCGAGAGATTCCAAACTTCCTTCGATAAAAGGTTTATTTTTGTGGGAATTTATGAATATTCCTCGAAATTTTCAGAAGTTTCAGATCAAATTACAAACAAAATGATCAGAGAAATTAATAGACAAATATTAAAAAATTTTCCTGAAAATTAGTGATTTGCCAGAGGAAATTTGGCAACTCCTGAAGGCTCATACGGCGTTTTACCTTAGCACGGTAGCATAGCCCTACCTGTCAATCATAACTTTAGACCTTTGAAAATACTTCATGAAACAAATCTATAACTGTAATTTTGATCCTCTCTGTGAGAGTGGGAAAACCGTCGTGCCGTCCTGTAATCCTTGTCAAACTGCCAGTGATGTAGACGAAGGAGATATTCCTATGATTTTCCGGATGTTGTATAGCTCATAATATGTGGCCCATAAGTTGTTGCGGGTTTTTATTTTATAAATTTGATCCCACCATATTTATTTTTAAAATTCTGGTATCTCTGCATGATTCTAACGCTTCTATATTCATAACTTTCCCTTTAGTGAATTCAATTTTTTTTTCTCTCTTTGAAAGATGAAAGTAAATAAAACTGCAACCCCTGATATCTCATAAATTTTAATGGATTTACAATTAATCTACGATAAAAATGTATGATTCATCTGTTTAAAAATCCTCATTTAAGGGAATTTTTATGATTGTTTAACAATTTTACGGCACTCATACACGACTTTAATTGTCTTTAGATGCAGACACTTTTTGGTGGTTGAAGTATAAAATCCATTACTTTTTGACTAAAGAACTGAGGATTTATGAGTTTTATCCCCTCAAATGAACCCTTCTCCACACTTCGATGTCTAAGTTTCGCACACTTGTAATTTAGACGCGTTTTTTAAACCTCATTTCAAGTCCACCATAATTTTTCCCAACCTTTTTAACCTTGCACGAAAAATTCAATTCATAACCCAATATAAGTATCTAAAAATATCTGCTATAAGAAAGTTGTCGGCATTTCTTGTTACCTGTGATAGAAATCAAAATTTGGAACCATCGCTCTAAGGAACAAACGTACATTATGAGGAAAATGAGGTGTCACAAAATCTCTCACTTTTCTGTTTCTGCGTTAAAGTCTCCTCGAGGACATATGAAACCCAGCCGGAATGGACCACTAGATAAGGTACGAATTTCAGCATTCTGATACATGTTTCTTAACCAAAATTTTACGTAAAACACGATGCTCACAACGAAAATTACCGAAATTAACTCCTTACGAAGATATTTAATGATTCTTGATGCGTGAATTCAAACCACCCGCTCATGAAAACTCAATGCTCTGCGTGATTCACATCGTGCGCTAAAAATTATCATGACAATCTCTGCGATATAAAAATCTGGCAACCTCAATCTTGACGCTTTGGCTCAGTTATAGCAAATTGCTAATAGTTTGAACAACACATGATGGGAAATGAACATTGCTCGATTGAGAAGCTTGCTGAAACCGTTGTAGTGGGCGATTTGACTCACGTAGAGTTTTGAGTTTCTTGTGAGCGGGCAGTTCAAATTCCTCGTAACCAATGTGAAATAAAAACGTTAATATCTTCGTTAGGAGTTGCTAGTAGTAATTTTCNGGGTGATGGGTAGGCAACCCGCAACAGTTGCTAGTGACGTCACACCATGGTTGAAAAATAAACATTTTTCTGCACAATTTTACAACACTGGCAACGATAGGTAGGCAACCCGCAACAATTAACCAGTCGCTAGTGATGTCACACCGATTCCCTCTGGTGACACCTTAAATGTCAAAGGTCAAGTGTTGGCATATCCTCATTTCTATACTACTGTTGCTTTCCGTAATTTTCGTTGTGTGAATCGTTTTCTACGCTAAATTCTGGTTAAGAAACATGTATCAGATCGCTTAAATTCGTACCTTGTCTAATGGTCCATTGGAGTATGCCGGGTTTGGAGTTGGCCGGTTTGTCAGCCGGAATGGGAGTATGGTAAGGTAATTACTTGGCTGAGGAGAGAGAAATTTATTTTTCCTATTATGTGCCCCAGGAAGTATAGAGGTACTTCCGTGACATAGTTCATCTCTAAAAGTGGTTATGCCTCTTTGCAATGAACGAGATAAAAATATCGAGATCCGCTGAGATAACTCTTCCATTACATGTAAGTACCGTTAGAATCCGTTATTTCTCAAAACTTGAGATTAGTTATACGGCGAATATGACACTGAAATGACGTAACATTACCAATGTAAATGGCTGTAAGGGATCATTTTTGTTTCAACTATCGTGTTTTAGGGGCTATGATAACGAGTCATTCCTTAAAGAAAAATCTCAGCTATAACTGCATTATATCTTCGATGCATTCACGGAAAAAAAAATTATTCAATCTTTCATTTGATGCTGAAAAACGCTTAATAAAAAAGAGAAGAAAAAAAGGTGGTCTGTTTTGTTAAAATATCAGTAGGGCAGAGTAAAATAAAACTTACATAAAGTTTGCTCCATGTTGAGATGAAGGGATCGTAGCTCCGTGCAAATGGGTCTTCCGTGTTGTATTCTTGTGGTACTTTAAGGAAAATCTCAACTAAACAGTATTGCGCCACGATCGGCTTGGTCACAGCCACGCATTCGTCAAAATCCCCCAACTGATAACGGTTGCCAGATGATAAACCCACTCCATGTTTTTCACTGGCATCCCACACTGAGGGGGACAGAACCACAAAATATTCATTGAACAAAATATCAAGTTCGTGAAAAAATAAAATCAATGAAAATAAATAACTTATGTAATTACAAAATCAACCGGATGGCTTTGATACATTATCGTAGTCGTGTTTCATCTCTCCACCCCACAAATCCGCCAATAAAATATTCATACTGATGAAAGCAACACCAAGTAGTAAGCTTTTGAACGTTTTAAAAATTCTTACGTTTTTAATTTCATGAAATTAATGAGAAAACAATTTTTAAACTACAATAAAACTGCAATTTAATTTTAGTTTAAAATTATTAATATTGTTTCACTCTTAGCAGAACAATACCTATTTTAAAACGGCAAATATATTGATAATATCACATTCCAGGGTGAAAAAAAATATTGTTAATATCGTATATTATATACATTCTATTGCAAAGAGAAACGGAGTCAGAGAAAGAGGGTTTTGTTTGATTTTCATGCGTAATTGATGACCAATTCTCTCTCGTTAAATTAATTACAGCTTCTATGAGAAATACTATGCATAAAGTATAATTTCAAAAATCACTTACTTACATTGGGTCTTGCGGTAATAGAAGGCTCACGGAACTTTTTTATATACACACCACCAAGAAATATTTTTTCCTCTCTTCTTTTGGATTCATGTAATTTTTTGCTTCGCGGAAAATCTTGAAAGATCATTTCAAATTGATTCGTACTTCATTTAAAATTTTATTATACTTTCACCTTTGCACATATATTTCTCTCAAAACCACAAAAATGTCACCCGACTTTTTCATCCAAAATGTCTTCCAACATTGTCCTACAGTGACGATGCGTGAATGATCGAATAACGATATTTTCTCATTTGAAGTTGTGGTAAAGAATCGATTATTAAGGCGTTCGTTGCGAACACACTCTCTATCGATCCTTCTCCATAGCTTTAAAAGACAGATCAATCGGTTTATTGCAAAGCGCGCAACGCCATTTTTGCTTTAGCCTCTCGTGATCCTTGCTCTTGAATGAAAACCTTTGAAACCTTGGAAGAGAAATTTCGTGTTCATTGTCTACAATTACACTGGAAAAAACACACATTGGATCTAGAGTCCAAACTCTTGAAAACATTGACAAGAAAAAGGACTCTTGATTCAATCAGATTTAAGCTTAAATCAAAAGGAAATCCGCTCAAATTAAGAGGCTTGGTTCTTGATTTAAGCTTAAATCTGATTGAATCAAGAGTATTTTTTCTTGTCGATGTTTTTAAGAATCTGGACTCTAGACCCAATGTGTTTTTTTTTCCAGTGTACAAAAAATTGCTTTCTCTGGGAAGAAGGTAACTTACTTTGAAAGGCCCACAGCGTTTTGTTACTGAGATGTGTTTCAAGGAGTAGACTCTCGCTGCGACATTGCGCGTCCTTGGAGTCCGGGACGCTGATAGGGAGGGAAGGGATTAAATTTAAGATCCGGGACGTCTCTAGGAATTCCCTGGTGAGGCCCAGTTCTTCGGTCTCCCCAAGCTCTGGGTCAACAGTCTCCGCGCCGGCGTTGTGGATGCACCACCACCATGCTGAGAGGAGCAGAGCTCTATGCAGCGCCGTTGCCGCCGTCCTGAGGATCATGATCTCCCAAGACCCTTCCTTTTCCCAGGTTTAAGCTCCGCTTTTCCTCTGCAACAAAATTAAAATGCAATTGAAAAGTCACTTTTCTCCTGACAATATTACTGAATAGGGCACTGGAAAAAAACCACATTGGATCTAGAGTCGAGACTCTTAAAAACATCGACAAGGAAAAGTACTCTTGATTCAATCAGAATCTAGATAAAATCAAGAACCAAGCCTCTTAATGTAAGGGGATTTCGTTTTGATTCAAGCAAAAATCCGATTGAATCAAGAATATTTTTTCTTGTCAATGTTTTCAAGAGTCTGGACTCTAGATCCAATGTGTTTTTTTTCCAGTGATTACTGAATAGGGTCCAAATAAAGACAAGATTTCACACTACTTTTTTTTTTGCAAATAAAAATATCGAATCGAAACCCTGAAACATGACTTTGAATGTGTGAAAGTTTCATAATTTTTGATCCTCAAAGTCTAAAAGGCTCTCAGAGTCAATATCCGCAATTCTGGAGTTTTTGCCAGATGACGCTGTAAAAAAATCCACGATTCAAGCTCAATTTTGGTAGTGAGCTATCTAATCTTTCTTTGAAATTGTATTATGAAAATAACTTAAATCGTGTAGATAGATAGAGGGAAATCCTTTCGTAATAAATAATTCTTAAATAAAGAAAACATGATCAAAAATATGATGCAGACTTTTGAATTTTATTGGATCGTGGATCCTGGAGAAGTATTGGAGACTTGAACGGAGTAGAAAAGTGAGAAATTTTGTGTGACCCAATGGTGAGCGTGGTTCTGCTTGGAGTTAGTTTCAAATTTTGATTTTGATCAGCGGGCTGATATCTAAAATTGACGGACAAAGCTATAGGCAAAGAGGATAAAGAGACGATTGAGCAATCCTGTTGGTGGAAGCGAATGGTTGCAAGGGACAAAGAGGGTAAATAACGTGCTAACAAACGGCAACTCACGAGGGACCCTATTGTTACTTCACTATTTTCCGATATAGTCTGCAACGATCACCCATATCAACCAAGTGGATTACTCCATCTTCCCTCTGTCTTCTTCATCTAAAGCTTTGTCAATCGATTTCAGTAACTTTTCCGCTGCCGACCTTCAGCCTTTAGTCAATCTTTTAGTAATCTTGGAGACTTCAACGCTAAGTACGAAAGTAATAGATATTGTATTAATTGGAGGGTTCATTCCGTCCCCGTTTCTCTTAAGAAAGAACGTAACTCCATTTCAATGTTGCCAAATTCCCCTCACAAATTGCATTTTTACCACACGAATCTTGACCATTCCTAACTGAACATTTTACTGAGAATTCTTCTGGTCTCGTGCAAATATCAGCAAACTTAGGACGAAAATTGAATCAGTGAGAACGAAAACACACCAACTAAAAAAAATGAAAATAATCAAGACATGCCCTAAAGTGCACAGAAGGTGAAGATGTTAGTCTAAGAAAAATATTTTTAGTGCCGGAAGACAAGTACTTACAACAAGTAGAGATGCAAGTACAGAGTTTTTAAATACAGATGCAAGTTGGAACAAATGCGCTAACGTCAATGATCTTTATAAAAATTGACTGTCTTTAATGAAAATTGAGCATTTTCAGGTTACCGAGTTGGTGTGTTTTCGTTCTTACTGATTCAATTGCAGAGGTACCCTTGTAAAAAATTGTATTATTTGAGTGAATTTTGCAACTTCGGAATGAAGTTGCGTTCCTTCGTCCGAGAAACGACGATCTGTACCGTTTACAATCGCAGCATCCTCGCACGCTAATCGGTGATAATGAACCCGACTCGCGTGTCTCACTGTAGCGTCACGCGTCCCGGCGCTTGCGCAATAATGTACAGCACGTGCGTGCGCGGAACGGTCGCAGACCTCGCGAGTCCGCGTCGCGACGCCGACGGTGCGTCCCGACGCTCGCCGCGCAGTACGCATGTGCTCGTTGATCTTGCCAAACTAGCGCCGGCGCGTGAACTTGACATGTGATCCCACCACGGTCAATGTCACCACGCCAGGGGCCGCACAATTTCACTCCATGTAAAACGCACGGCGAGAACGAGTCGCTGCTTTTACAATGCTTATCATGGAGTACCGTTCTGCCATGCTGAGGGCGAACGCAATTCGAGTCCTAGGCCCTAGGCGTTGCCGTTTTTCCTTCTAAAAGTGAATTTAGTGGGGAAATTGTGAATATATTCTCTCGAATTTTTCAGTCAATTTTGTCCCCAATTTAATTTCAATTTCTGACAATTTTAAAGCAAACTATGCATAACTTTGTTAAAAAATACACGTTTTGTTCGGAAAAATTTGAAAAACTCTCGCATGGTCCTAGGGAATTATTTTCTGGTACTGCAGCTTTGTAAGGAGCGCATGACCACCCTCTGCCTTGGATCTCAGGTCTTAAATCACAGTTGGGCGAATTTTTTCAGTTTTGAAACTAATTTTATAGATTTCGTTTCAAATATTTTTCTTCAACCTTTCCTGGGATTTCCTACCCTGGCACAAAATCATAGAGGAACTCGAGATATGAATTCAATGAGTAGACGCTTTACTATGATCGTCAATTTTCTCAACTGAAACCATTTTGAATAAAGACTGAATGGATCTCATCAGATGTTAAAGATGGTACCTACGCAAGTTGGCCCTCTTCTTCAAATCGTTTGCCTCCAAAAAATGTTAATGAAAATGAGGAAAAAATCATGAGCATAAGCCTTCCTTTTACTCCCTACCTAAAATAGTAATGCAAAAAGCGGAAAAGCATGATATTTTACACTCCTAGCCCCAGTGACGCATGTTGAAAGTTGGCAACACTGTTACCCCTCCATTTAAATATATGTATAACAATCGATTCCTGGTGACGCACCTTGTCTCACCAAGAATCGACATTTTTAATGGATTTAAATGGGGGGTAAATGGTATCGCCAACCTACAAAACCGCCACTGCCTGGCCCAATGTGTGACGGACAACACTGCCGTGCTAAGGAAGAACGCCGTACGAACATTCGAGAGTTGTCAAATCTCCTTCGATAAAATGTTTATTTCTGAGGAAAGTTATGAATATTTTTCCTTTAAATTTTCAGAATCTTTAGGTAAAATTGTGAACTAAATTATCTGAAAAATTGTGAGGAAAATATCCATAAATTTACCAGGAAAATCGCGTTTTATGACAGGAAATTTGGCAACGCCCGAAGGTTCATACGGCGTTTTTCCTTAGCACGGCAGAACAGCTCTGCAATCGGATTAACATCGATTTGGGTCAACGCCGTTCATTTCCTGAGACGAGATAATCAGCGCTCATCACTTAAAACTGCCGCTAGGCGGTCGCCACGTCGTCGTGCCGTAGGGCAGTTCACGTTTAAGACCTCTTTTGGCAAAAGCCGCCGTTTTCAAGCCTTTTAGTGTCATTCCATCCTTCCATTTAAGGAATATCCCCAGGCTCTGTCATTTTTAAGTGGTCGTTTTTTACTTGGGTAGTAAATCCAGCGGCTTTTGGTTTAACAGTTACGAAGGTGTTGCTCAACGTATTGCAGTAACTTGTGTGTTCGCAGGACGCAGTGAAATCGCCTTCAAAAGAGGAATAAGCAACCCCACACTTTTTGTGTTTGAATTGATGCAGATGTAGACAGTCATTAACCCTCGTTTGATAGGCTTGGGCCTAACAACTCCAACAAAGGATAAATGACAGGAAAATGGACCTATCGCTATATCGGTATGCCCTAGGTCACTCTGTGTTGACTTCGTCAACAATGCAAGCTTCTACGATTCCAGCATTTACTCGAAACTAACAACTTACATCTTAAAACCAACTTACGTTAGCCCGTGAGCACGAACCAACACCGACAAAGACAACCGCTAAAATTTCCGAGGGTGAACATATTTATTTATATATCTTTATTTTAATTTGTTTTTAGAGTGAGAGGGGGAGTATGAAGCATGTTCAGTCTCTAAAAGTATCAGTATTTATATTTTGAAGATGAAAAAAATAAATTGCTATTGACGCTATTAAAAGTGACGTCATCATAAGGATTCTCGATTATATAGCATTAGATTCAAACAATAAAAACGACACAACCTCTCTCATTGCTACCAATGAGAATAAATCGATATATATCGTTTTTTCTGTGACGCGGTACTTAAAACGTTTATACACCGAGGTATTCAAAATTGCGGGCGATGTTTTCGCTCGAGATGAGTGATGGAACCCAACACACGCACCAAAGTTGCGTCATTAAGAGGAGTGGAGTTTCGTCAACCAAATTCTTGATCTGCCTTTTCAGTTTGCACCACGGACAGAGTCGTGACGGGTCACAGGACTCTATTACAAAATGATGTGTGGCGCCGCGAAGTTTGGTTCCAACAGGTGAAGGGTCAATATTTGTCCTACACGCGCATGAGAGTACCATCCGAGGGCAGACTTGTCGCGTGACTATCGATGACTATGACTGGGCCGGTCGTGCGAAGTGACCGATAGGCATACGGGTGAGAATGTGTCACTGAACCATGATGAATTTTGAATTGCGGATATATTTTTGAAGGTAAATGACGCGTAGAACACAATGCTTACGGAAAAAACACGAAAAAGTAATATGGAAACCGAGAAATACATAGTTCAAAGTGCGCAAAATGTCTGCAAAAAACGCCCAGATTTTGCGCCAAACCAAATAATGTCATCTGGCACCGATCAGAAGTAAGCATGGGTTTCTTAGACTTCCTCAACGTGTCTTCCTACCTCTTGTATGTGAAAATAATAAGAAATTTGAAACTGTGTCTTTACAATCAAAGAATCAAAACTCATTTATGTTGCCTGTAGTAAAACAAGCAACAATTCCACATTGAATTATTTTTGTTTTATTTTAACAAACGCCAGTGGAAATTAAGAGAATATAGCAATTTGACTGCAGTTGTACATCCACTCTATAATTTCTCCGCCATTCCGGGGCATTTGAAAGTACTTCGAGTTTTTGGAATTTTCAAAGCGGACTTGCTTAGTATTTTGGTTCCAAAAATACGCAATAAGTCACTACGTAAGCTATTTACCTTGTGCTCTCAG